ATGCCACTGAATTTTATAATTAGTGAGCTCGTTGGTTGAAACTTATCTGTTCATAATGTTCTCCTGTGTAGTGAGTCTGGATCAATGAATGATGAATTCACTATTCATTTGGAAAGTGATGGTGAGCTTTGGGGCTTGTGAAGTCTTGATCTAAACAGTATTATTTCTGTATGAAGTCTTGAGATGCTTGGTTTAACCCTTGAACAGCCACTGCTGCTTCTCTTGTCGTCGTCACAGCTTTGATGGGTGAGAAGGCAGATGGGACTGTGTAGGCCCTCATTCTTCTCTCCTTTATTTACATCACATCACCAGGCAGGCCAGCCTACCCCCCAAAAAGAAAGAAATCAGTAAGTGGGTACATAGCATGATGACACATATCACACATATACAACAACTTGTATAAACAAACAAGAGTTAGTATTAAATGAGAACTCTAACCTGAGTTACCATGGGGGAACCATTGTTACTTTCTCAGCAGATAACAAATTCATCTTTCATTGGTTACATTTCACAATTATGATAACCATAATTTATTAGTTGGCACATTTGTTGTGCGGCCTGATGACTAGTTTGAAAGAGATACGCTATCATTCTAGTGCAAGACGGAACCCCAGTTTTTCATGAAAACTGACACATTCCTTTCCGTCCCCCTCCCCAAACCTGCCACCTCCTGCAGGTATTCTGACCAATCCAGCCTTGCTGCCAAATGTGAGGTCTACGTTTCCGTGCTACAGACTGCAACTGAGTCTGTAGTGTGGGAGACCATCTCTCCCACTCTCCAGGGCAAGCACATGGGCCCTTTTTGCAGCAGGCACTAATGTTTTAAGTCCATGGAGTTCTTTTTAGGTGGAATGCAGTGTTAACTGGCTATCCAACTGTAGTCATTTGAACCAATGATCCATCACCAGTTGGGTGCTCCAGTTCTCTCTCTCTCTCTCTCTCTCTCTCTCTCTCACAGGCCAATTCATGCAATTCCATTCTAGAGCCAAATTTACTTAAATTTAATTTACCTAAATTAAGCACAGCTGTACCCATCTTGTAAATCTGAAGTCATGATACAATGGACATGTTTTGCATGTGTCTATCTAGAATCAGTGGGACTCTGAAGAAGACATGGCAAGGATGAATAGTGCTGATGTGCCTTGAACATCACATCTGTGACCCATCAAATTATTGAAGTTCCAGCATTATGGGAGAACAAGGTCTTTCTTTTCTCATGGTATTATCCATAATTTTGTAAACTTCAGGCATGTGTCCCACTCTGGAGCTTGCTCACTTCTAAGACTGACCTGCACAACTTAAGAGTGAAACAGCCCATCAGGGGCCTGTTAAACTTCTTGCTTTTGTTGCAAACACATTTGTGGTGGTAGGGGAGCTCATGTCATGTTGCAATGTGTGGCAAGCATGCTGTGGTTCAGCTTGGAAGTCCACAAGTTTAGCAGCATCTGTCATTGTACCTTTTCTAAAATAAGGACTAATTTGAAGAGAACATGAGCAATATTTTCTGCAAAATAATTAGGAAAAAGTCACAGTGGACTTCTAGGGACTCTGCTGGACACGCCTGAGAAGCAAGATAGAGACGGCCCTTTACAAATCAGGAAAGACCAATGGAAGACACTTACTACCGCCAGCACAGAGTAGACCTGTAACCACATTTAACATCTTTCCTGACATTATATACCATTGCTAGGTGCATTGTAGGGCACATAGTTAACTTCTTAGTCTGGGCCAGTCATATGTGGGGTCATGTGGCTAGTGGGGCATGTTGGAAATCAAAGGGAGAGAGAGAGAGAGAGAGAGAGAGGGAGGGAGGGAGGGAGGGAGGGAGAGAGTTAATAGAGGCAAACCTGTCACTGTGGAAAAGGGTTTCCTAAGGGTGCACACCATTGCATTGTGTCAGAGATGGGTGGCCATGTTTTGGTCAAGGATTATTTTCTGAGGTTGCTGGGGGTTGAATGTCACCAGCCAAGCTGGTTGGGGCCAGAGCCAGGCACAGGTAGAACCTGCCCTGCTGTTCCCTCTTTCTCCTTGAGAGTGGGCTGCTGGGGAAGGGATTGATTGCTCTCACCAGAGGTGAATTTCTTGCTTGCAAAAGTCATGAAATTAGTCCAAAGGTCATGTACGGACCTCTCCCCGTAGAATGCTTATCTCTGTCAGTATAAATATCTATCTGCTCAAATACCATCTAATGTGGTAAGATAGAAACGTTATCAAAATGAAAGAGATCCAGTACCTAGAAGTGGGAAAGTAGTCAATTTATTGTGGATTTGAAGAGCTCCAGCACCAACTGCCTGTGGCCAATATTTAACTTCATGTAATTTAATACATAATTTAATAGTCATATCCCCATATTGCAGAATCTGAATTATGCATGTGGTGTCTTACTATGTTGGAATACCTTTTGCCTTTAGTATGAATGGTTGCACAGGTTTTAGTAGCCTTGAAACACTCTTGCTGGAGGAAATAAATTTAAGTTGCTCATTTCTTGAAGAAAAGTAAGATACTTTCTCAGGATAGCCTATGCCCACAGAATTTGTTCACTTGTGACCAACTAGGAAGTGCTACCCTTTGGCTTCCATGTTCTCTGAAGTGAGGTAGTTATCACCACTTAGGATGCAATCCAATGCATATTTAAAAAAGAAATGTCCTCAATTCCTAGCAGCCTCCAACCAACCTTGCTGGCTGTGGTAATTCTAGGACATTTTCCTCTCTAAACTTGCTCTTTCCTTTCAGTGATGGGCAATTTGCAGACCTCCAGATGTCCTCACTGCTACTCCCTAGTCAGTGTAGCCAATGGTGAGGAATGATAGGAACTGTAGCCTTGGAAAGCTACAAGCTGCCCACATCAATCCATCAATATACTGGAGCATATTAAGTTCCAAAGGGTTCATTACCACCATCTTACAACACACCATGTTGCCTGCATACCTGTTGCTTTTAGGGATATATGACTGGTGCCAACTTTATATGCATTTATATTTATATTAACTTCTGTATAGGTTAAAATGTTTTAGTTCTCTCACCATTTTAATTTTTGATATGCTTATTTGGCTTTTATAATACTGCTACTGGTACATGTGGACTTTTTGTTAATTATTGTCATTTATTGTTTTGGTTCAATTGTTATTGTTTATGTTGGTCAAATTTTATTGGTCATGTAGATGTTTTATGATTTGCTTTCTTGTTTTTAAACTGATTGCTGATATTGCTGTTTTAAATTTATTGTGGCTATTATACACCATTTTGCTAGGGTTTTACTATATAGGTGTTCTGGGAGCTCTGTGCTAACGAACAGAATATAAAAGCCTACACAAATAATGGGTGTTGTAGCCACTCATCATATAGGGGACCACACTTTTCCCATCCGTATTACAGCATCTCCTTCCATTATTTATTTAGCAAACTCTAATTCTCCCAATCTTCTACTTTCTTAGGTTTATTGGAACTCATTTACAAGTCCATAGACTAGAAGTGGGTTGGTATACTAGATGAGCTGTTTTTCTCATTTGTGATATGTGTGCTAAGGATAACGTCTCTTTTAAAAGTCTGTAATTTTGAACTTGAATGGGTGCTTGAACTAGTTCTAATCACCTTAGAATTAATGATTCCCTACTTGGCTGAAAAACAGTGCATATATATACCGTGTGTCTGGAAAAGGTAATTTCATTTCCCATGTTCATTTCATATGTATACATGTGAGTTGATATTATGTGTGTGAACAAGAACTTAAGAGCCATACTGGATCAGAGCAAGGGTCCATCTAGTCCAGCACTTTGTTGAGCTAGTAGCCAACTAGATGCCTACAAGATCCCACAACACCCCCATCCAAGTTCCTCACTAGCTGGAAAGGCAGCATATAGCCATCAGGGGTAATAGCCATTGATTCTCTTTTCCACCATGAATTTGCCCAATCCCATTTCAAAGCTGCCCATATTGATGGCTTTCACTAATTAGAGCTCCATGGTGTCAAGCTGCAAGAAATGTGTTTTATGTAGGATAAAATTAAACTTTCTAATGAAACTAGTAATTCAATAAGCAACTAAAGGCTCATCTAAACTGTAGCATCCCCATGGCCTAGTAGATTGGAAATGTCTTGATACATATGTTCACTGAAACACTTTAGAATTCATTGGAGAAATAAGCCAGAAGCTAGCACAAGTTCTGATAATGTCAGTCTTGAAGACTTAATACAAGTTGCTTAGGTAAAATGGTAAACATTTCATGCAACTGAATCCTTATGCCACATCTGTGAAACTATTCATGTTTGGGATGTCCTTCCTCAGAAGCAGACCTCCTTTGGTGGAGCTGATTTAGTATGTAAGTGTTGAAATATTAACCTCCCCTTGCTGCATGGCAGCAATGCTGGGTGTGTGTTTAGTTTATTATTTCATGTTTGCTATTTTCTCATTGTTTAGAAGATATTATATTGGCCTATTAAGTCACTATGGACATGAAAAGGGATGGGCAGGGTATGCATGTATTACTATTGGTTCCTGTTCACAAGAGTTGCATAAAGTATATAAAGAATAGTTCCTGTTCACAAGAGTTGCATAAAGTATATAAAGAATAGTGGCGCAGTAGTATTTACTTGGTTTCAGCACTCCTAACTGAAGCAGAGACAGAAAAAACAGAAATCTATACTGGAAAGGGAGATGTAGTGATTTGCTTTTATCCATTTAAATTATGTTCAGTTTTGTAGTAAATTCATTCTACCGTCTGAATTCTCTTGCCTTCCAGCAGCAAAGAAAACTCTCTAGTGATTATCATGAACTCATAATAGAAATTTTGTAACATAGGCTGTTTTTTACAAGTTTTGGCAAAGGATATAATGAGTTTCACTAACAAGGTCTGCAGCGTCCTTCCATGTGCACAAGGAAATACTTTATACTTTCATACTATGAAGTGCATACCCAGTGGTTAAGAATTAAATTTCAGATAGCACTATTCCCTATTTATTTCAGCAAGAGAATCAGACCTTGGAAGGTTTTTTTTAAACAAAATTTACAAAATTGAATTTTTATTGTATCACACAAGATGCACTTATAAAATTCATACAGAATATCATTTTACAGGAAAAATCATTCCAAGCTTCCTTTGAGCAACAATTAAATAAAAATTAAATTACAACAAATTTACAAATATTCTGAATTAAATCTTAATGAATAAAATTTGTCCAAATGAACACATATCTGAAATAATCATTTTTGCTAATTTCAAGCTTATTTTTAACATTTTCATTCCTACAACATTTCTAACTTTGGCCATTTCTTCAAGCTAAAATGAGAAAACAGACTGGTAAAAGGTGAAAAACAGCCCCTTCAGATCAGAAAACATCAATCTATAAATCGTCACTTTTTAGCATATTGTAGAATTCCGTTCATGAGGATGCTATCATCGCACACTTGTTTTATCATAGTAGTAGTATCTGAAACTTCAGGGGACTAAGCACAGAACAAACTCGACCCCACATCACGTTTAAAATAGGCATTAAATATTGCATTCATTAAGCATTGTTGGCAGAAAAAGAAGAGTACCCTGAATGCAGCATTCTCTCTAATCATGTTGAGCTAAACGTGTCAATTATTCCTTTTATAACACATTTCAAGCCCCTCTTCAACAGTTTCCCAAGTCCCATGCCCCCCTAATAAAACTGCTTAGAATTTCAAACCATAAAGAACTTGTAGAAAGCTACATTTAGGATACAGTCCTATGCATATTTAGACAAAAAAGTTCTAAAGCTTTCAGGTTCACTTCAACCAGCCATGCTGACTCCTGCAGGCTGGGAAATCCAGGGCTTTCTTTTCTGTCTTAACATACACAGAATTGCAACATTATTCTACTTAAAGTGTGTTTAATATTCAACATCTGTTTCAGGCTTTCTCTCAATTTTTGGCCATGTGCAGCTTCTCCAGCCATATCAAAGAAACGCTCCTTTCAGCTGATTGACACATAAAATGCAATTTTGTCTATTTCAATGCAAAGCTCGTATCTGCAATAGAACATCTTTTAAGTGCCATGTGCAATCCCACAACCTGATTTCACTCTTCTTCCTCAAATCTTTTACATCTTTACATTTATAAACTCAAGCTTTTCATGCTTAAAATACAGTGCAAATTGAAAAGGAAAAAAACCCTGTTCTTTCCCAGTTATCGCATATATTCCATTATGCCATTTTTGTGATCAACTTCTTGTTACTGGCTTAACATTTAGATAAAACTATTATGTGATAATTCTTTAAGGATCATTTATTTGAATTAGCTGAAATACATCTTGAGCAATCTTCTTGTGGCAAGAATTATCTTGATTATTTTACTGGAAGTTTGAAAAAAGGTTTTTGGCAGGTGAAGAATTTTAAATAGTTTTGCAGTTGCTTATGAAAGTGAGTGGAAGAAGCAAATGTATTTTCAAAGTTATCCTTCTATTGAAGCAATTTTGACAAAAAAAGTGGTATGTTCTGGAAGCATGGATTCATAGATAAAAAATGTTTTTAAATACATTTCACATGTTATTTCCAGGAAAGCGATGCTGTAGCTCTGCCAAGCTGTAGATCTCTCTCATAGCTCACCACCTTTTCCAAAACATCCAAGTTAAAGAGCTGAAGCTTGTCCAGTTTATCAGGCCAAGTTACTCACTGTAATATGTTTGCCATTAATAATTTAAGTTTTTAAATAAATATTTATATGCCTCCTTGGCATATGTCCATCTTGATAGCACTTGCTGTCCGAATAGCTCAGTATTCTAAGCATGTCAGACAAAAATTTACAAAAATCTAGTCAATCCTGTTTCCGCAAATTGTAAACCTGTCTATCTCCAACAAATCTTTCTTTGTAGATTTGTGTTTTGAATCAGAATTGTCCTGCGTTATATCTTTCTCATCTCCATCAGGAGTTGTCAGGAATTGATCAGAGTTGCTTGTCACAAGCTGTGGGGCTGCATTTTCCTTCTGGTGTACTGGTTGAGCTGTCACAGAAGCAGACAAGTTTTCATCTGTAGAAATTCCTGCACAGAAATTAGAATTTAGAAGATTAAGGCTGCAATCTTATGCTTTGTTACTAAGGAACAAGCTCCATTGACCTTAGTGGAGCTATCTTCCAAGGAAATACATATAGAATTGTAATGTAAGGAGAAAAAAATAGAAACATTTATTATGGTGCTAGGCCTGAGGTTTATTGCACAAATGTGCTTATCACTGTGCTTTAAAGTTTGAAAGTTAAAATATGGTCAAGATGAACAGGTTGTATAAGGCAATTCATCAAGTTACAGATAGCAAAATACTACTACATTATTTCTCTGTTTTGTTGATCTATTGAGCCTGATATTATGTAAGCATTTTTACACCTCAGCTTTGATTATGAAGTCTACATACAGACCCTTCCTGCCAACTCCAGTAAGTAAATGAATTCAGTTATGGAAGAAAGTGCTGTGATTACCATGCTGTATAGAACTCATAAGTTGCTAGTTTGCTGGAAGCTGGCAGAAGGCAGAAAGAGAAAACTGTGTGTTTATGTGCAGAGAAGGGCAGCTTCCCTTTTCAAGTAGGCTGCTTGGTTGGATTATTAAGTACAGCCACACAAAGATTTCCTGAACACAAGGAGGGAACAGAATGACTGGGTGTGTATCCTGGTTAACTAGCCACAATGGATTGTCATGTCATCTGAAGCTAGACTACTTCCCTCAGGGTAGCTTATTTGGGAGGCAAAAAGCTACCCTACCCTCTAGGGTTGTTTGACCACAATGGGTTATTGTATTGTCTGGACTGGGAAAACTGATTTCATTATGGATCGTAGGGAGCAGCTGGTGAACCATTTGGCAAGAGTGTCATAAACCCCTCACTGCTTTTTGCTATCTTGTTTATGTGACCACCAGTCACAGTCCTTCCACCAGTCCCCACGCAGCACTTTGCAGTGACACTTGGTTTGCCACCTTAAAAACATCAGCATGCATATTTTGGCAACTTTTTTTACCAAAAAAAATTGTCTCTCTTTCAGATGTCCACAAGTTTGCACTTACAGCTTTCTATATTTAGTCTTGCCTGGTTGATGTCCTTGGGCGTTTCAGCTGACAAAGGGAGCACAGTGCAGTTGGATGGAAAATGGCAAAGCAAGACTTCATATAGGCTTATTTGCACAGACTTACTGAGCTGCTAAATGAGCATTACTAGTAAAGAGGAGTGTGTGTGTGGGGGAGGGCAATGAGAGAAGTAGGTGAATTTGTGGCTGGGAAGTAACTGGACAAGAAATTTTCTCTCTATTTCCCAGTCATGAAATTTCTGGGAAAATTCCCAGTTAAAATGTGCAAATTCAACAGTTTAAAAGTCCCTTACAGGTGCCAGAATAGGATGCTACACATAGGAAGCCAGTGCCAGTGGAACAGCAATAACCACAGCTTTAAGTGCTCTTAAAAACAGCTGCAAAGCAAAGCAGGAAAGGTAACAAGACTCCTCTCCAGAGTAGCAGAAGACTCAGGAGACTTTTGAAAATATGCAGGACATTCAGAAGTGTCAGTTCAACACTTGAAATCTGAAGATTACATTGTTAAGGGAGAGATCTTGTTGCTCCCCATCCCATTTTGACAGCCTTTGTGTGAAACACAATGTACCTTATACAGCCTCACTTTGCCAAGTTCCCTCTATGTTGTCAAGTATATTCCCTTTGACATCTGAAACTTACAAGGGCATTGACCATATATATATATATATATATATATATATATATATATATATATATATATAATAAATGTGATATGTCACACTTGTGTCAGACAGCTTTAAATGTACACTTGTGCATCTCCAAAGGACTGACAATTAAAAAAAAAGAATTAAGATGACATTTCTGTGCTTTTCTGGGAATGAAGAAAAAAACTACTATGACTCCAACTGTGCATTTTTGAGGGTCTGAGAAAAAAAAATACATGAATGAAAAGGGACAGCCATCAGAGTGGGCGGTAATGACAGGTTCTGCCTTGAAGGACACTGAGATACTTGCTGAAGGATGGCAGGGAGACCATCTACAGTGAATCCAATTATCTATTGCACACACTGTGGGTTGTTCTGCAGCCAGCCAATCATCCCGGACTGATTCACAGAGTGGCTTCATGAGTTGTGCAAGCTTGCCTGATGGCTCAGCAACTCCGATTCTGCTAGTGCTTCACAAGCTGTGCTAAACATGTTTTTCTAGCTTATGTAGAATACAGAAATGATCTTGATTTTCTATATGAACTTGCATGTGCATCAGTATCAAGAAGTTGTAAACTTCACTGAATGAGGTTAGATACTAAAATAGTAAATAAATTATGTCATAGTTTTCTGAATGAAAAAGCTTTAACATTTAATAATCTGTTTTTTTATATTAAGTACAAAATACATCCAAGAGCTGTAACAGAAATGAATGGAGGCAAAGAGCATGCACTCACCTTGAGTGAATCTGTACTTGCTTTGTGGTTTGCCAGGAGGCCTGCCCTGGGTGCTGGCAGGAGGAGGATTGAACAACTTCTCTTCCATGTTTGCTTCTTTGACATACTGGCATGACTTTCCCAACAGCACAATGCTGTTAAGCACTTTGAGTGATATTAACCTGCAAACAATACACAGGCACGATTGGACTCCACGTGCTGAACAAGATGAACGGACTTTAGCGGAGCTTTCCAAGTTAGAAATTAAGGTTCAGAAGGTCCATGCTGTACTGCTTTGATTGTATTGTGAAAAATGCTTTAAATACATGTATAAAATAAATGTTCCATTGTCACAGGACTGACTCTCGTAGCCTTACTTTAAAGGTAAGGCTAACACCAAACTACTAGGATAGAAGAATTCCACTAAGAAAGGTGCCATTGCTTGATTTTGGGCATTTCGCCTATTCAGCAGGATACCATGACCCTCTGAGTAGTATTTTTACAGGGCTGGAGGGCCTACCATGGAGAGGGCACATTCAACTAACCCAGTTGCACATATCTAAATCTGGATGCAATCTCAAATGTCTAACATTGCATTTGGCCTTTGGGCAGTTAAACACAATCACTGAATTATACAGCATATATAATCACTTTAGATAAAATATACACCAACTACTTAATAAATGATAGAATCAGTTATATGGTCCACATAAGGTTACTACTATCCATGCATGTTCCCTATTTATGTTTACCAAGAAACATGTCTTCCAGGACTCAAAGGGATTAACTCCCAGGTATGCTTAAGATGCACTTAAATCCCACTAAAACCAAACAAGCTGGTTGTGACTAATGCTAATTCCCATGTCTTTCAATAAGTCATGACTAATTTTAGCAGTGTCTGGTTAAAGGACTTTAGTTAGCTGGGAACATGCTTTGTGTGCATGTTCCATAAATAAAGGTGGTATTAAACATAAAGTGGTTCAATGTGAATTCTCCTTCCTAAGGAAAATCTGCAAAGAAAGAGAAAGTTTAGAAACATGCATGTAATGATATGAACCAGTATTTCCACAAGCACGGGCACCTGATTGATTTTGCCTGTGGAACTTCTAGTATACAGAAAACCAGAATGCTTAACTAAAAAATGGTTAGAAGTTTTGAAATGCTGATTCTTTACTCAAGATGACAGCAGGTGACTTCAGAAGAAAAGCCATGGTACACAGAGTTCCACAAAACAGACTTGTCAAATATGGCAAAGCCATAAAGTTGGATATATATACGGGGGGAGCAGTTCCCCATGGCTAATTTGTTTGTGACAGAACAAGTTGAGGAAGTGAAGTTTGTAGTTGGAAAATAGGTTCATTTTCCAGCCAGTGGCAATGAAGGCCTGTCACAGATCTGCTGAATGCAGTGGGAAAAAAGTGGTAAGCCTGTATGCATTCACACATCTGTAGAGGGAATGAAATAGACTTCCATTATCTGGAAGTCCACAAGTTGCCCACCCTTGCACCAGTCAGATAAAATATCTTTGCCAGTAGCTGTAAATTATGAACTGGAATTAAAATTAGGCTATAATCCTAAACAGGCTTATTTGAAAGTTGACTCATATAATGCAAGGAAATTATGATTAGGATGGAAACACTCATGTGCAATATGGTGTTATTGCTTTTTCAGAAATCTAACCGAGCTTGCCAGTGCCACCCCAACAACCATTATTAAGAGCTACAGTTACCAGCCTTGCTGTGCTGTTGTATTATTTAACAGCAAAGTGTAAACATGTGAAAATATGACTCAATTCTTTTTTGCATTTTTCATATTTAAAGTCTAAGCTTCCTAAATGAATGTAAACAAAGTGATTTACACTTTGATTTACACTTACCCACAATAGAAGAGGACAACACAGAGGTAAGCCAAGACTCCCTGTACTTTTACTGAACTTGTTACAACTCTGATGAGCTAAAAAAGGAAACATGTGTTAAAATGACAGAGGCATACTTCAACAGAGGTTCAGAAAGTTGATAAAAAGGGAGTTGTAACTAGCATGCAGCAAAAAATAAAGTATTTGTACATACTAAATGATTTAAAATCATTTGTGATATTTAGTAAATAATTATTTAAACGATTATTTTCTACAAAATTTGCATCACCACATGTAATATAACCATTTTTTAAAATGATTTTTAACCATTTTTTAAAATGGGCAATGGCAGACTGTTCCCAGCTCCTCCTTTTTCAGATAAAAATGATCCTTACTATCTTTATCTACTGATCCAGTGCAGCCTCTGTGGCTGGTAAGCAACTTCTGGCTTATGCTGATTAAGCCATAAATAAGGCAATGGCCAAAGGCAGGCAAGAGCAGCATGGGGAAAATTTACATGCAAGACAAGTTAGGGACTAATAGGAAGGTGCAAACACTCTCTTAACAGCCACTTTTAAGACATTTACACTGGTCCTGAGTGGTGCTCATTCAGTATAAGTACTGACCAGAAACTTATGACTGCTTTTACATGCAGCTCAACTTTTTATTCAAATGCTATTTTAAGAACTGTTGATTTTAAAGGCAACAGTCACTTCTTTTATCTAATTTTATGTCTGTATTTTTACTAATTATCTATTATTCCTATTTATTGTTATTGTTTATGGACTGTTTTGATTGTTATGTGATTTTAATGTTGTAAGTCGTCCTGAGACATTGTAATAAAGGACAGCATATAAATGTTTTAAACAAACAAACAACCTCCTTTTCTCAACCATCACCATCTACAGAACCTCCCCATATGCACTTTGGGTACGACTTCTTGAATTAAAGCAAGGACTTTCAAACCAGCCCCTCATGGAACAGGAGAAGGCAGCTGCTGCTTTAGGTAAAAGGCTGTTTCTTTCTGTCATATGAGTATCAGGGCCACATTATTTATGTTTTATATAAGCACAACTAATGAGATGATGCTTTTACTGCTTTCAACTGTTCCCAGGAAAAGTTTAGGTGACACTCCAATTTCTTTGACTGTACATGACTAAGAAAGACAGTTATCTGGGCTTAAATTTAAATCCACATTCACCAACTTCACACATTAGCTCTATAAAGTCCACAGAGACATTTTAATATAAAGTTAGCTAAACAAAGAGCACATGTTATCTTAACCCCGATTTTTATCTCACAGTAATTAGACAGATTGTACGATCTATATCACTTAATTTCCCTGCCCCCCCACCTCCCTGCTGCTCTGATACATTAAAGTTCATCATTTGGTACAATTTACACCAGTTACTGATGGGTGTATATCAAGCAATACATGACTTACTAAAACAGCCAACGGGAGAGGAATAAAACCCATTCTCCTAGAAACGGAGTCACTGTAATCGGTGTATGCCTGGGGGAAAAGAACCGAACCTGAGTTTTTAAGATAAGTGGTAGAAAATAGAAGTAATAAAATAAGGTCCAGTGAAATTGGTAACATTTTAGATGGTATCAATCTTCTCTAAGTTTTCTGTTTGGAAAAGAATGAAAACCTCTTTTCAATTGGTAAAGCTAGCATCAAACTAACAAAATATATGTTTTTGTGTTAACCCTATTAAAAGTAATGCAATTTAAATTCACTGACCTATGCATGAAGATCAACTCAGCCTTCATACTACAGCTAGATTATCTAATGGAAGGCACTAAACTTCATAAAAATAAAGGAAGCATTACATTTCAGAGCCCCACCCCACACACATACTCAGTTACCAAATTAGCTTTTAAAACCAGGTAAGTTAACTCATATATTGATTTATTAATGGCTTATTGTGGCAGCCATAGCTACAGTGAATGTGTGAACAAGTGTACATGAGAGAAAGTAAAAGAGAGAGAGAGAAAAAGAGCATGTGATGTCCTGAAAGAGTATTAGTACATTGTGCTCTCATGAGAGCTGTTGTGTTTTGGAATATCACTTACTAGTAACTTATGCCCTTTGATTCCCCATGCTACAAAAATAATGAGTTAAGTGCAGGGATATGAATACTGGTGGAGATTTAGTTTGAGTGCTGCGGATAACTACATTTTAAAACAGAATGTTAAGAAAAAAAGCTACTTCTAACATAAAATTAAACTTCAGGTAAATCTTACTAAACTCGAGTACATTCTTTAATTCTGTGTGCAAAATAGCCAAGCAAGATTTTCCTAACTACTGAAAATGAATAATTATATGATTAACTATTGCCTTCCATTTCCTAGATCAGAAGCAAGGGATTGTTTAGGAGAAGAGTAACCACTTACATTTTTCTGTCGACTGCTAACAAGGTCAAAGGCAAGGCTGGCTCTGTATTCACTGTAGACCTGAGAAGACAGTTCCTATCAGCAACTCAATCATGATTGTTACAAACTTTAATTAAAAATTAAAGTTAGAACTCTGCATGCCTGGTACCATACCACTGTTTATCTTCATTTATCAGAGAAGAAAGAATAACAACCAGATTTGCATGATATGACACAGGAAAAAAATTGTTCTGCTTGCGCCATGTAACACTGCATTTGTATGTCCATTATGTGGCCTACTGCTGCTGCTGAGTAATGTTTTTTTAAGCTGGGGAGCTCTTTAAGCAAGTACATCCAACCCTGGGAGACAGAAGTGCAATTATGTGAGATGGGCTGTAGATTCGAAGACAGATCTTACACTGCTTGTGAATAACTAAATAGTGGCCTACTAAACCACTTAAGGGGGAACAAAGATAGAAAAAACAGATTTACATAGGATTTCCTCTCAGGAAGAGAACTAATTGGGTCAGAGAATAACGCAGCCACCCTGCCCATACAAGTGGGCGGGCTCTCTGGGTTGGAGGGGTGGATAGCTAGGAAGCAGACAGCAACAAGTCTAGTTGCAAAAGCACTGAGTTGAAGTGTTTGATCTGCCATTGGATACAACATCGTGCATTGAGTTTTTTCTCATAAAATGTGTAGCAGCACAATCCCTGGTTTATGAAGTCATCTCATTGTGCTTCTCTGCCTCTGCTCAAAAGAGATAACCACAACAGAAACTAAAAGCCACTGCAGGTTAAAATCTTTGCAAGCACCAAAGTATCACAAAGTTGTCAGCAAGGTTTCAAGTTCTTCAGGAATATTCTGCAGTGCTGTATATTACAAAGAAGGTGGGGATGCTGCTTTCAACATCAGATGCATGTCAAGTGCAGTGCAAAATTCTACATTACATTCAAGAAATGATCTAGTTGCAGATTTCCCTTACAGTGTTCTGCTTTCCTCTGTCTCCTTATCCATGCACATGCATGGGTAACTTGCAGCAAGTCAAGAGGATAGGCTTGAATAAGGATATAGGATGCAGAAAATTTCCTACCATTCCATCTAACAGCCCAATGCACTGCACCAATGCAAAGATCAGCCCTAGTAAATTTCTTATGTTTAGCAGTTGAACTATATACTTACATCAGCTGTGATGTCATTGAATTTTGTTATAAAAGCATGTTTTACAATGTCCACTGCAACTTCTGATGCAATCACCATACAAACATCTGGAAACAATACCCAAAGATGGTCTGTAAAAAGAAGAGAAAGTTACATGTACAAACTTGATATAGAGCAAAACAAAATGCCAGAAAAATGTAAGTATGTTCTGTCAAAAGCTCTCTCGATGTTACTAGTTATGACCATATATTGCTTCTAGTACTAAAGGTAATAAGCAGTTGCTATGGTAATGAGGAGGGTGCTACTGCACTAATGTTGAACCAGAGGGTTTTCTCTGGGCAGCTGGCTGGCCAAGTGTATGACCAGAATAGTGGGCTAGATAGATCTTTGACCTGATCCAGCCTGGTTATGTTCTTATGGTGAGAAGATAATCCTACTTAAAATGGTCTCAGCCCACAAAGGATCTCCAGGTTCTGAAACTCTTTGAGCAGATGCTATAGCTCAAACAACAAAAGCAGGTTGCTTACCTGTAACTGATGTTCTTCGAGTGGCCATCTGTGCATTCACACATATGGGTGCTGTGCCTGTGCAGTGCCTAGGCCGGAAGATTGAAAGCTAATGACTTTTGGCGGGAAGCTCCACTCCCCTCCCGCTCACTAGTATATACAGAGCGAAGCGTCTGCCATTTTACTCAGTCTTTGAAGACGGATCGTTCGCCCCCTTGTGGGAAAGAAATACATTACAGCAAGTATTGTCGGTACCGTGAATATAAAGATGTGGTACCGATGAGGAAATCCACTCACTGACACCAAGCGGGGCCGGCGGGTGGGTTGTGTGACTGCACAAATGGCCACTCGAAGAACATCAGTTACAGGTAAGCAACCTGCTTTTCTTTGTTGTGGCCTCTGTGCATCACACATATGGGTGACTAGCAAGCTTACCACAATCGGAGGAGGGTAGGTGTTGTTACTGAAGAACAGCTGAGAGAACCGCTCTTCCAAAAGAACAATCTTGTCTTGCACATACGTCCAGGTGGTAATGTCTGGCAAAAGTACATGGAGCAGCCCAAGTTGCAGCCTTGCAGACATCCTGAAGCGGAATTCCTGCTGCAAAAGCTGAAGAAGTGGTTACTGCTCTTGTGGAGTGACCTCTCGGAACAACAGGTAAGTCTATCTTGGCCAGCTGATAAGACAGTACAATGGTTTGGACTATCCATTTAGAAAGTCTTTGAGAAGTAACTGGAGATCCTTTATCCTGCTCAGAATATTTTACAAAAAGCCGACTGGAATGTCGAATAGATTCAGTCCTCGATCTGTAGAAAGCTAAACATCGCCTTACATTAAGTGCATGGAATGATCTCTCAATCGGATTTGATGGTGAAGGGAAGAAGACAGGTAATACGATCTCCTGATTCATATGAAAAGGGGTAGCCACCTTCGGCAGAAAAGAAGGATCCATGCGTAGAACAACCTTTTCCCTATGGAAATTTAAATATAGAGGATCTACTCTAAGAGCACACAATTCACTAGCTCTTCGAGCCGATGTGATTGCTACAAGAAAGGCTGTTTTCCATGAAACAAGTTGCAAATCTATAGTTGCCATTGGTTCAAATGGGGCTCTAGTGAGCACCTGAAGCACCACTGAAAGACTCCAAGTAGGCATGACAGGTCTGATTGTCAGATGCAGATTTTGAAGTCCTTTAAGGAATCTTTTTATCAGTGCTTGTGGAAAAAGGGATGATCCATGTATTGTGCCACGGTAGTAAGAAATTGCAGCCTTGCACACTTTTATAGTCAATGGCTTGAGTCCTGAATGGTGTAGTTCTAGAAGAAACTGAAGGATATCTGCTATTGATGCCGAATGTGGAGTAAAAGAACGAGACTCGGCAAAGGAAGAGAATCTCCGTCACTTTGCTGCGTAGGATCTTCGGGTTGACAGTCTCAATGCAGATTCGAGAATCCTCTGGATTTCCGAATGAAGGACTGTCGATCCCTATGTAAAGTCCAGTGAACTCGACAGGGTAGCAGGAGCCAACGGTTTTGAGGCGGTAGTTTGAGTATCGGGTCTGTGAGATCGATCCCCGGAAGAGCTAGATGCTGCCGGTATCGAGTCGATATCGACATTCATCGAATCCACCAGGCTGTAAGTTTCAGTAATGCCAAGTCTGGGTGGTGTACCGTCCCTTCTTGTTGTGTTATTAAATACGGGACAGATGGAAGATGAAGGAATTCGCTGTGAGACATGCGAGAAGCGTGGAGAACCATGGTTGGCGTGGCCACCACGAAGTTATCAACAGTCCTGTGGCTTCGTTGTGAACAATCTTCGATAGCACTTTCATTATAAGTGGGATCGGAGGGAAAGTGTAGAAATTCATCTTGTTCCAGGGGATCATGAAGGCATCCCCTGCTGATCCCAGTCCGATTCCTGCTCTGGAGCAGAAATTCTCACATACCCTGTTCTGACGGGTAGCGAACAAGTCCATGTCGGGATGCCCCCAACGACGAAAGAGTTGGTCGCAGATCTGTCGATCCAACTCCCATTCGTGGGATGTCGACATCTGTCTGCTCAGCAGATCTGCTTCGACGTTGTCCGTACTGGCTAGATGAACTGCTATGAGAGTAACGTCCCTCAGGATGCACCAGTCCCATATTTGCATCGCAAGTTGGGCCAAAGCAGCTGACTTCGTTCCACCCTGCTTGTTCACGTAGAACACTGCTGCGATACTGTCTGAAGTTATCTGAACGACTTGATGTCGGAGCATGTCCTCGAAGGATCGTAGAGCTCTGAAGATTGCGAACAGCTTGATGAAGTTGATACGCTTTGTGGACTCCTGTCGGTCCCAAGCACCCTGGGTTCGAAGAGTGGAATACACTGCTCCCCAGCTGACCAGGGATGCATAGGAACAAAGAGTCACAGTAGGTTGCGGGGGTTGGAATGGAACCCCTGCATTCAAATTGGCTGGAACCGTCCACCATATCAAGGATCGTAGGACAGAAGCCGGAAGCCGGATTAGTTTTGTAGGCGAGTCCAGATGTGGTCGAACCATCTTGTTGAGATAAAGTTGTAGCGGTCGGAGTCGAAGCCTGGCATGTGGAACAGTGGCCACCGACACGGCCATATGTCCCAAGAGTCTTTGGATAGAGCGGGCAGGAATTATTCTGTCCTGTCGAATTTGTTGAATGAGTAAGCCGAGGCTGTGTTGTCAGTCCTGAGGGAGAAATGCCCTCGTCACCATGGAATCCAAGCGGGCACCAATGAAGCTGATTATCTGCGCAGGAATAAGAGAAGATTTCTCTAGGTTAATACAAAGTCCAAGGTCATCAGTAGGGCACAAGTTGTGCGAATGGACGACAGAAGGCCTTCTCTGGTCTGGGAGACTAATACCCAATTGTCCAAGTAAGGGTATATTTGAATACTGATGACCCTCAGATGTGCGCAGACTGTAGCCATACATTTTGTAAAGACCCACGGAGCGGTAGCCAGCCCAAAGGGGAGCATGTTGAATTCGAATATTTCTGAGGCAACAGCAAATCGGAGGAAATGCCTATGACATGGATGAATGGAAATGTGGAAGTAGGAATCCCTCAAGTCCAGGGAGATGAACCAATACTCTCTCCTCAGCAGCGGCAGGATATTTTGAAGAGTGGTCATTCTAAATTTCTTTGGAATAATAAATTTATTTATGTTTTGTAAGTCCAATATAGGGAAGAGACCATAGGGGCCGTAAGTCCAATATAGGGCAGAGACCGTTTAAGGACCGTAAAATATCTCGAATAGAATCCGTGGAGTCCTTCAAATCAAGATAGCTGACGAATTGCTCCTTTGCGAAGAAGCTGATGAACTTCGTTCAACAATACTGGCGAGCATGGTGTAAACCGGATCGGACTCGATGGAGGAACGATGTCAAATTCTATTCGGTATCCATGCTGTACGATGGATAACACCCACTGATCAGATGTGATGGACTCCCAAATGGGGAGTTGGCTTTCCAGCTGATCTCCAAATGAGAGGGGGAAAGGTGGGAGTGGGAAGAGAGGAATGGTTCGCCAAACACATAAACGGTGACGTTTGTCTGCATCAAATCGGCGACGGCCTTGTTGGAAGCGCTGCTGGGGTTGTTGTTTGCGGCACTGTTGCTCTTGTTGGTACTGCTGCCTGGGCTGGTAGTGTTGTTGGCAGGATGGGTGGGGTCATGACCACTTACGTCTCTGCTGCGGCTGCATTTCCATAAGACTAGCGGTCATCCTCGACTCGTGTATGGCCTTCAGCTTGTGGTCCATTCTTGAGTTGAATAGGCCCGACCCGTCGAAAGGCATCTCTTCGATTCTCCTTTTCATCTCATCCGGAAAATTGCAGTTTCACAACCAAGCATGTCTCTGGAGTGAGATGGCACCGACTAGGGCTCTCGAGTCGGTATCGACGTGATGCCTTGCGGAGGAGAGTTGCTGGATAGCAACCTGCATCACCTCTTTTATGAAGACCTTAGCAAGCTCCCCTTGATTGTCAGGAAGGGCAGAGATGATGTTATCAAGGTGCTGTATTATAAAGTATTGATAGTGCGCCAAGGTCGCTTCATAATTTGAAACACGCAGGCCGAGCCCAGAGGCTGCATAGATTCGGCATGCGAGGGAGTAGATCTTTCTCCCTTCCTTGTCGCGCGGTGCCGTGTGCCCTAAGAGGACTCCACCACGACTGAGTTCGGTTTCAGGTATCGAAGGAGAAAAGGAATGTCTTGTTCTCGAACCTGGTACATGGCTTCATACCTTCTTGATGTTGGCTGAGGGTTGGCAAGCATGTCCCAGGGCTGGACCATCGCCTGACGTAGGGTTGTTATCAACGGCAAGGTGATGGTAGCAGACTGTTCACCCCTGACCACATCATAAAACTTGTTGGTGCTAGGACTGGGCTGTTGTTGCGCCTTGATTTCCAGCAACTGAACAAACCGAGACATCAGCTCCGCAAAGGAGATGTGGGGCTCCTCAGGTGATCCTGGGCCCTGCGAAGTAACAGCAATGTCTGGAGATGTGGAATCCGCTTTGGACTCATCCGAGTCGACATGGTAATGCCCTGGGTCGCTAGACGAAGAGCCTCTCGGCAACAAGGATCAGCTCTGGCCCCTCTGCTCTCTTACGGGTGTGTCCCTTGGGATCGATGAGGACGGATGATCATGGGGTGGATAATATCCAAAGGAGTGATAATCACCCCATCCCGAACACTATGGGAAATGAGGGTCCCAGTCATCAGAGCGGCGGTCAGCAGAACGTCTCTGCTCCCTTGGAGGAGACATGGCAATCTCGGTGTCAAGCCCGGTTGGAGGCATAGGTGTAGGAGACCTAGCCCTCGGAGGAGAATCGTGAATCTCTCCATCCGATATGGATTCACAAGGTGGAGTCTCAGGGTATTGAGGGGATTCGCTCTCCACCTGGAATACTCGCCGAGAGGAACCCGAAGGGGTAACCCGCATGGCGGCTTGGAGCATCGGACCCGTTGGGGTCGGTACCGAGATGACAATCGGGACCGAGGGTACCGACGAAGTGGCACCCCGGGCTTGTCATGCTCAGGCTTCTTAGCCTTTTGAGCAGGTTTTTCTGATTTATCCCTCCTAGCCTTCTTGTGACCAGAAGGCTTCTTGGAGTCGGGGTGCTTGCGCTTCTCCCACTGTTTCTTGGGAGGCGAAGCAGGCTGTTGCGCCATAGAAGTCATGCCCTCTTCCGAATGGTGCAAAGGGGCCGCGGTTGAGGCAGAGGCAGAAACAGGGTGTCGCAGAGGAGCCACCAGAGCAGGGGCCGGTCGTCGGGCAAGAGCCAAATCAGAAGCAGGCTTCGAGACCAGCTGGTCTGATTGTAAGAGAGCTTGGTCCCAGAGCAGCTTCCTGAGATGAGTCTCCATATTCTTCCTGGCCTGTTTTGTAAAGGCCAGACAATGCCCGCATTTATCTGTCCTGTGCCCCTCACCTAAGCAGAGGAGGCACAGGTCATGCGGGTCTGCTGGTGACATTTTGGAGCCGCGCTTAACACATTTTCGGAACGCTGCCTGCTGTGCCATCGCGAAAAGGAAAAGAAGATGATAGTGAAGTGGGAAAGGTATATTAATAGAATGAGAGAGATAGAATCGAGAACAATTATAAAACTTGGGTACACAAAACTTGAAATAGGCAGAAGAATGAACTAGAACTAGAACAAGAACACGAACAAGAACCACGAGGTGAGAAACTGAAAGTCTAGGCAAGAGCAATAGCAGAACGAGGCAAGCGGTCGCAAAGACTGAGTAAAATGGCGGATGCGCCACTCTATATATACTAGTGAGGGGGAGGGGAGTGGAGCTTGCCGCCAAAAACCGTTAGCTTTCAATCTTCTGGTCTTAGGCACTGAGCAGGCGCAGCACCCATATGTGTGATGCACAGAGGCCACGACAAAGAAACATGTATTTTACATTATTTTCCTTTCTTTTTGTTACTATTCTGTTTTGGAACTCTGTACAGGGAAGGAGGATATCTTAGGAAGAGAGCCTCAGCCTCTCTTCCTTAAAAGCAGGGGTAAAACATTTAGACAGTTTTGGAGGTTGAGGGAAGTGCAGAGGTAGTTTGTGGTAGTTAGATGCTAATTAGGCAACACTTTAATCTGAATTTAAAAAGCACTTAAATAAAGAATCCGAAACCAAACACAAGTGATGTACTTGAAAGAACAAAACTAATGCGGGTCAGTGGCAAGGATAGCAAGCAAATGATCAATAATGTTAACTACTGCATCAAAACTGGTACAGCCAAATTATTCATAGCTATGACATGAGCACTAAAAGCAAATCAATATGCTGCAGTTTTTCTATTTTTGAATTCTATGTTATTGTCTGGAAGCAAACTTTACCTGGGTTCCATGAAAACTGTTCCATATTTCTTAGACAAACAATCAGTAACAGCACATAGTTGGTGAATCTCTCCTTGATGTCTAAAAAGAATAGCAGACTCTTAATTCAACTATCATCAATTTTTCTAGACCCATTAGGAATATAACATGCGTACCACTTCCATAATTTCACTTATACTGTTTCACTGAGGAAGGGGAGGAAAAGAAGAATTCACCATTTCACCTCTGCAAAGCTATGTGTTAAGAATCCATTATAAAAGCCTCTAACAGGATTATATCACTGTTACATGATGCCGAACAAGTGGGTATGCACATTGCTTCACTCACTGGGAACATTAGGGTGTTTTGAACAAAACAGCTCTGCTGATGTGACTCTGTCCTTTCTTATGGAATGTGAACAGCAAACAGCTACTTGGCTAGAAAAGTAAACTTTCTGGAAATGTTGACACTATGAGGAAAAAAGGGGTAGGCTTCTTCTGGGGAGGGGAAGGAAAAATAATACTTTTAAAAGCACTTTTTACAGCTCTAAAGTCATTCTGCTGCTGTTTGGGACTTCTGCTCCCATCAGCCACATGATCAATGATTACAAATGTTAGGTGTGGTAGTCTAAAATATTTGAAGGGCACCAAGCTGAGGAAATGTAACATAAATTATATTATGTATGATTCCATTTGCTCATAAAATCATTATTAAAATTATTTTGTAATTATCTGAATGAATTATACTTTTAAATTTAATACACCAAACATGATAATTTTATGAGTAAACTATACATAATATATGTTAATTTCCTATTTTATGCCTTAGAGAGAAACTAAACACATCTGAATCAGATGTTAAGAAGTTAAGAAACAGGGTGAATGAAAGGCAGAGGACAAGTAATGTAAAGAATCTAATCCTGAAGGAAGTTTAAGGAAACTTAAAACTTTTTTGGTTTGCAGACTGAAATCTGTTCTAAAGGAAAAGCTACTGAGATTTTAGTTAGCTGGGAAAGACTGATCTAATTACTTGGAAGCAACTATAAGCCATCCTGAGATGCCGAGGCATGTGGTGACAGGATATAAAACTTATAAATAAGTGTATGTATGTATGTAATTTTGAACTGTAACTGTTTTTAGTGGTAGTGTCCATCCCATGCCTGTGTCACAAGACCCAGGCTACTGAATTTCTTTTGGATAAAAAGTGCTCATTTTATAGTAGAGGCAGCATTTTCGATTCCTTAAATTTAACCAAGAACTTCATTAAAAACTGTGACAATGATTTCTTCAGGCCAGCAACTCTGACATGCAGCAGTAATTGCCAATGAGGACTGATCTCAGCTGTGCTGCCCCATATTGCTGCTGCAAGCCCTTTGGCCTCACAGCAATGGTGCAGGGTAGAGATCAGTTTGGATGATTCATTAAATCAGCCATAGTATTTGAACCATCTCATTTTACACCACTGCTGCGTGGCCAAAACTAGCCATAGTAGTGGCACAGAGCAGAGATCAGTTCAGCCAACTTATGAGTCAATCCAACCAAATATGACCCTTGTTCACAGCAGTGGCAGAGGTTAGAAGAATTACAGGGAAAAAAAGGCTGGGTAACAATATATACACACTTTGTCTTAAATATTTTATTAATCATCCTAAATAAAAGCATTTCATATCCCAAAGTTGTTCAATATTTCAGGAAAAAATGGGAGGAAATGGTTTTTTTCCCCCTTGGGCCTTCACATCAGCTTAAAGGAACAGCCAGGAACTGAACAATGTGAAAACGAATGCTCATGTTTTTTTCCTCTCAGCCATATGGAAGGAGAGTCCTCAGCTTCTTTCTGTTCTCAAAGCAGTAAACTGTGCATTAGTGTTATGCGTGAATGCTGCCTATGATTCAAGTATCAGAAAAGAGGACCACCTGTGATGCATGAGGAAAGAGTTATCAGTGGCAAGGCCCAGCTTATATAATCCAGTTTCTAAATGTCAAATGCCTTCCTTAATAAGAAATTGTGAACAGTGTAGGGGACAGACAACAAAAAAAGGGCAAGAAAACCTCTTTGGCTAGATTCTACTGAAGTCTATGTATGGCGACAGAGAAAGGCTTCTCCCATGCTTCCAACCAATGGAAGAAAGTTTTTTTCTCAGTTGCTTTGAAGAGGGCAGAAAAGAAACTACACAGTACCCTTTTACATTAGCCCCATTGTCTCCAAATGCATTAAAATTATGGAAAACTCCCCCTTCTATTATTAACATTACAATTATTCTTAGGATACTTTTACCTGGCTTTTTAGAAAAAAAACCCTTTGTGTCCCTCCTGTTCATCAACATGGGAGACACAGGCCCTGCCTTCATGCTGACAAGCTGAAACAACAAGATGCACACTGGAAAGGGACAGGAGAGAAATTGGTTTGTCAGTGTCTGAAGGGTTGTGAACTGTAAACAGGCAATATCCAACTTGGGGTTGCTTTTCCCTTACAGGCATTTTAGCTTGAAGAGAACTGGCCAAACTACCTCAAAGACTTTAAATTCTCTGGCTGATGAGAGAAGGGCAAGTATCTCTCTGCAGGTCAAGGGAAACTGGCAGTTAGAACAGTGTCCTTTCCAGCAGGAAAGGAGAAACCTCTGTACATCTGTGCCTTCCATGATGAATGGAGAGGCTCAAGCTGGTCTTTTCCTTGCCACAGTTTTCTTCTAGGACAGAAGCGGATAAATGCAACCACAGATAGCTCTTGTTCCTCTCTTTGGCAATAGCAGCCCAAGTATCCTTCCCTTTGTTTCTTCCATTCCAGAACCAATGCTCTAAATGTATTATTTCAAATACACTTGGGATTCCAGGTATGTCCACAACCTCCTTTCAACAATCAATCACCTGCCTTTGGAAACAACTTCCTAGAATAGTTTTAAAAAGCTGCATGTATTTTTATGCCTCTTTAGGACACAAAGCTTGAGGGAAATGTGTCCTACAGGGTAATGTGTCCTACAGGGTAATGTGTCCTACTTTTTTAATGGTAGCTGTAGTTACTAAATCAGTTTAGCACTGAAACAAATCATGGCACAAAAGTTACTATTTGACTGCTCACTATTCCAGTGGAGTCACCACTGAAATACCACCAGTTCTACATGAAGGGTATTAAAAGGATGTCTTCAGTATTTGTGTACCATTACCATATATAAAACATTGTATCTATTTAGGCAAGAACATGAAATGTATTCACAACTGTTCTATGGCTTAAACAAACTCAAGTTAATGTGGGGAATAAGTTGGCTTTATTCATTCATCTGTTCAATGCACATCTGGAATAATGTATGATTTCACTCTTCCTCGGGGAAGGACAGACATCTGAGACAAAAAGAGTATGTTCTACAATACTATATCATGAATTATTTTTAATAATTACTGCTAGCCTTAAAAAGCGAGGTGGCCGGGGATGCGGAATGGATAAACAATTGCATGTTTATTCAATCCATGTTTACGCAGAGGGTGGGCAAAGGACTGTGACCACAGCTTCTAGTATAAGAAAATGGGAGCAGATTTCTAGGCCTTCACAACTGTTTATCTTATGAAAGTGACAACTGACTTTCTGTGGATGGAATCTCATGATGGTTTTCCACTGACAGAGCTGCTTTATCAGTGGAACTGCAGGAGTGTGTTACTGAACTGTCTCCCTCTAATCCTCTCCTCCCTGCAGCATCCTCAACAGAAGGGGTTTCTCCAGAGCAGATTTTCAGGGAATACAAGGAGAAAAGAAGGGGAGCATTTCATCATGCAAGCAGTGATGCTAGATTCCAGCTATTTTTAAACAGCAGTGTGCTGCAAAACTCAATTAAATTTGAGTACAGTATCAGGTAAAGTGTGAGGTTAAAGGGACCAATTAACAATCAGATTTCATTTCACAACAAAGCTTTATATTTATCTTCATTGCAAGGACGATTACCCGCATTTGTTTAGGCATGTCATGATTGGAGCTGGCTGGAGCTGGGGGTCAGACTAGATGGCCCAATAGACCCTGTCTGACTCACTGTTTCTATGGTTCTATATGTATTCTACTTGGTTTTCTTATTAACATTCTGTCCCATTTTACAGTATTGCATACAAAAACACTGAAACACTAATAGATGGTAGGTTTACCTACAGTGAGTTAATCAGTGTTTACATCACTGAGTTGCTTCCAAGTAAAAATACTTATGTGGACAAATGCATGCTCTTACTGATTAAGAAACAAAACAACAGCAGCACAGCAAACCACAGATCTATAAAATAAATGCTACTTGAAAGGCAATCACTTTCAGGCTGAAATCACAGAAACAGCTTAAGGACAAGATATTTGAGTGAGTGCTTCCAGCTGTGTGAATCAGCCCAGAACCAGTATTCATTATCTGAGGCCAAGTTACATGTCCTGCAAACTGGAAAGGTCAGTTTTGTGAGCACCTCAAGGAGGGTCTTCTTGTGGCAGCCCCCCAGTGATTGAACTCTGACCCATGGGAGGTTAGGTTGCTTTCCTTTTTATTAGCCTTTAGATGGGTCATAAAATGGCTTTTGTTCCACCAAGCTTTTACCAATTAAGAGTGTTCTTTGGGTTTATAAGTTTCCCCAGTTTGCTTGCTTGATTTATTTATTTAAAGCTTTTCTACTCTGTTCACCACTGACATCTCAGGATGGCTTACAATAAAAGAATAAAACAAAAGAAGCAAGCACAACATCTGGCTTATAATAAAATGCCAGTTAAAACCAACTGGACATTAAAATAATGGGAAAATAGAAAGGTTTTTGCCTGATGCCAAAAAGAATAAAGTGCCGGCACCAGGGAATCCTCTCTGTATTCCATAGTTGGTGCATCAGCACAGAGAAGGCCCTCCTCTGGGTAGCCAACCTCCTGATCTTCTTCAAGGAGGGATCCTAGAGCAGGGCCTCTGCCTCAGATCTCAAGGGACAGGAGGGCACATAGGGAAGAAGGTGGTCCTTCAGCTATCCTGGCCCCAAGCTGTTTAGGGCTTTGTAGGTCATCACCAACACTTTAAATTGGGCCCGGACTTCAATTGGCAGCCAGTGTAACCAATAGAAGACTGGCATTATATGTGAATACCTGCTGGTCCCCATTAACAACCTGGCAGCTCTATTCTGAACCAACTGAAGTATCTGGACCATCTTCAAGGGCAGCCCCATGTAGAGTGTGTTGCGGTAATCCAACTGGGAAGTTACCAGAGCATGGGTCACCATTGGCAATGCTCATCCGGGTAAGGGCACAGTTGGTGAATCAGCTGAGGCTGAAGGAAAGCACTCCTCACCACTGCTGCCACCTGAGACTCCAGGGACAGCTCTGTGTCCAGGAGCACTCCCAAACTGCATACTGTATCCTTTAGGGGGAGTGCAACTGCATACAGGACAGGGCTAAAGTCACTTGCTATATTGTGACTATATATAGTCACACACTATTTTATACAATTCATTAGTTTTGTTTTAGTTTCACTGAAATAGTAAAATTTATGGTTTTGATGTAAATAACTGTGATTACTCATTAAGAAGGGCTGTTCAGAAATATTTCAAATAAATAAATAAAGTAAAACGTCAGTCTGTAACCAGGAACTGCATGAATCTACATTACCAAACTATGGTTTCATTTCTGGTAGCACTGTTCAAGAAAGAATAGGCTTTTTCTAACTTTCAATTCCTATCAATACTTCTAGCATCACTGCACAATAACAAAGAAAATATATAAGAAAGAGAGATTAAAATATTATGCCCCCTGCTATACCAAATAAGAAAACACCTGACTTCTAATTAAGCAGGTCTTTCTGCATCAAAACCATCTACCCTTTATTCCATCAAATCTACCCACATTTCACAAATGCACCATAAAAGTAGGTTCAGAGCACATATTGAATATACTATCCCAATCAAATATACATACCACTGTTTGACATCTGAAACAAATTGTTCTTCTCAAACTTCTTGAAAACACTTCCTTTTATTTCAACAAACTGCAAAATAAGAAGGCAACATTTCCATCCTTTAGATTTTTAAAAGAGAATGCTGTTTGGTAACACAAGCTAAAAAATACTGCTAGACCACAATGGGTTCTTAAGAGAATCAGAATGTAATGGTAACATTTTACTAAATCCTATGAGGCAAGGTTTTTATTCAATACTTACATTGTTAGACATCATGATAGTAAGAAGTGACTTGTTGTGAGAGTTGAAGGCTACATTGAGTGTTGTTGCTTGGACCATTATAAGAATAGCATGCAAAACTGTAGCCAATAGGTTAAGGAAATATTTCTTTTAGAAGAAAGTATAACCCTGCTATGAATATGCTTTGGAATTTTAAGATACTACTCTCCCGAGAACAGTCAATGCAAACTTTCAAATTTCATTGTGCTATACTATTAAGTAGCCTCCCCCTTTTCTTAACGTTTCTTAAGCACACAGTTACATTACTGACAATCATTTTATGATTCCAATAATTTCAAGAGACAATTCAACAATGACTAATATGGCTGTGTTACTACTGACCAGTGAGAGGGTGGCTGTACTAGAATAGAGAAGTCACCAAGTAGCAATCAAACTATAATGACCATCTTTACATTAACCATGGATTTCTGACATTTACAGAATTGATTACATTTTAGCAACATTATTCCAATTCAACAAGGCATTTGGCCAACTACACTGATTTTATTTAAGTATATGACAGCTATGTGTTTCTGTTCTGCATGCTATGGTCCATAGCCACTTCTTTTTTTTCAGCTACTTCTACATCTGAAAAACTCTTGTTACCCTTTGAAAAAAGATATGGCGAGTACGTTGGGATGGGGACTAAGATAATTGCTTCAGATGGTGTTTCTAGTAAGCTAACACTTCCAGCTCATTATTTGTTTGCGTCAGATGAGAAAAATACTCTCAGAAAAGCTGCTAGGGTTGCAGGAATTGAAAGAACAGGATCAAGGAAATCTTAAAAGGTAATAATAATATGTGAGACAGTTCACCTACCTACAGACACACACAGTCTGAGGGTCAGGTAAGCCAATTCCTTTATTATCCTGCCCTTTATTCCTTTATAAATTATAAATTCCTTTATAAATTCCTTTATTATCCTGCCCTTCCTCCAATGGGGTAGCACAGCATACATGTTTACCTCACCTTCCATGTTTTCCTTCCAGGGAACAAGCTTGCAATATTGATCAAGATAAGACACCCCAAGGTCTTCAAGTAAAATTTATAGTTATGTAGTTAAGTAACAAACACTACAGAATTTGCATTAAGCTCTTAGGAATAGATGACACAGTCTTGTCACTCAACATGTGAACAGTTTCAGTCCCTCCTCTGCCATTCACCACCTTTGTTGGTGGTGGGTTTCCACCCACCTGCAATTTCTGTAATTATGGGAGCACTTTTTACTAGCCCTGTGCTATGTTTTTATTTATATTTACATGAACAGGTCCCCCCCACACCAGAATAGAGCTCTCAAAACAACTTATAGCAAAATAAAAACATAATAAAAAAAACAGAAACCAAAAAGCCACACAGAAAAAAACAGCAATAGGTTAATAAAACAATGTTAAAAAAAGTAAAAAAAAACTGACCTTCATAGGAAAAAGGCAAGTGACCAAAACATACAAGGCAATATATAAATAAGGATAGGATAAATTTAATAGCATAGGTAACACAAAGTAATCTATAATCTATATCCTGTATCAGTAGTTTTTAACCTTTTTATGGTTGGGGACCAGTGAAAATAGGAAAATTATCTGAGGCAGAAACAAAAAGCATTGTATACCTATTATTTTGTGTATTAGTTTTTAAATGCAATACCAAAAATGATAATTCACTAAAATAACCAGAGACTGAGCTGTAAAAATGCTAATAAAAGAAGAAAATATTGTAATTAAATGTAATCAAATATAACTGAAGTTTTTAGAGAGCAATATTTAATTCAAATAAGGCTAGTGCAAAACCCGCTGTTGCTTCTTTTAGACTTGATAATTGTGGCTGCAGTGTTGTTTCCAAGAGATGAAGTGCTGCACTGACATCCATTCTGTTTCTCTCTTTGGTTTTTATCAGTGGCAGGGCTGAAAAACTCTTTTCACACAGATATGTGGTAGCAAATGCAATTAACAATTCTGAAGCAGCGATTTCTCACTAGTCGTCATTTTCTTCATTTGAATTTTCTGACTTTTCATTTGGTTATGTAATGTTTCAAACAACTCAAGGGGCTTGTCAGTAATTGCCATGCTTCAAATGCAAATGATGAGCAAGTTTTGAAGGTTTTATTGAATCATTTCACAGAATTTCAAAACATACCACACACAAGGGATGTGGCAATTGTTCACTACCAAGAGCTGTAGTGAAACCAACTTTTAAGTAGTCCTTCTCATAATGCCTAATAAAGTTACCTTTTCTTTTTTTGGTTTCTGTTGCACCTTCTAGAGTATCAACACATTTCATTTCCACTGTTCATTTTAAGCATGAACCACTCATACTTGGTTTACTCTTGCTATCATCAATACTTTACTTTTTGCTATTGTTTTCACTTTTATAGATGGTTAAAATGTTTTACTGTTGTTTTCTTTCCATTTTACAGAATTCCATGAAATCTGCTTTCAGAATCAGATAGGCCACTGTGCAGCCTACAGAAGCAATACCAGCAGGTGGCTCCCTTGTGTGGAGCTGTTCCAGCTCTTTCCTGCATCCTGCTAGGGTCAGCTTGGTTCCCCTGGTAACGGCATTCTGGTGCACCAAGGCAGCCTGCTATTGGCAGGCTGGGCTGGCCTGTGCTGTGGCATGGGTCTACCTGCAAGGTTGGCTGCAGGGCGGCGTGCTCTTGTTGCAAGGTCTGGCCACCCCTCTGCCGTTCCTCCATGATGCTTGGCTCTGCAGGGCACTGTGACCCCCAACAACTTCTTCATCAGGGCTTTTTCACGGACCAGCAGGAATCTCCCACGGACTGGCATTTGAAAACTACTGTCCTATATCACAAGGATCATTCTAGTTGAATACAATAAAATATAGTGTATTTCATGCATAACATTCATTCAAATGACTTGAGGACACAACACAGTCAAGAATAAGTTTGCAATTTCAAGAATAAGTTTTGGGCTCCTCACATGCTCCTCTCCACCCATTCTTATATGCTCTGAGCAGTAACTTCTGATCTATAGTCTCCCGCCTTTTTTTCATTCAAGTAACTCAAAGTGGCTTACATAATTCTCTTCTTCATCTTATCCTCCCAACAACCCTGTTAGATAGGTTGGGCTGAGAGCCTGTGTCTGCCCAAAGTCACCCAGTGAACTCCATGGCTGAATGGAAACTAGAACACAGATCTCCAGAGTCCCAGCACCATGCTCTTAAGCTCTACACCACACTGGCTTTCCTGATATGTCCTCCCAAACAAACAAAACTGTGAGACAAAGGTCAAATTTAAAAGGAATCACATTAGGATAGTTTAGAATTAATTGTGGAGCTGCTCTGTTGATATAAGCTATGGAATCAATTAAAGAGAGCCTTGCAGAGGAAGGTGCACCTAAGTGCAGGAGTAGTCATGCTAAAGTGTAGCTTTGCTGGAAAAGACTTCCAAAGATTTGTGGGCCATCACCAAGAAGAAAGTGATCTAGTGCAGATCAGCCTTACTGATCTTAACAGTGGGCACTTAAGGACCATCTTACTATATTGATAGGGCTGAATAAGTAAAGCTATTCTTCAGATAACATGCTGAGTCCTGATTAAATACTTTTAAAATTAAGATCAACACTTTGCATTGGGCCTAGAAACATTCAAATTAAAAATGTTAAGGTACAATTTGAACTAGACTACTTTACAGAATCTAGTAGAACTATTTATTTACAGAAACTTGCTTCATTAGACTATTAGGGCGCATGTAGTAAGACTCAGAATGTCAGCACCTGTGGTTTATCAGGCATTTCAGCTTTTAAAATGTTCACTTTTGTACTTTTCTATGTCACAAAAGACTGGTATACATGTGCAGGGGCTTGTTGGCCAGTAAAATATTTTAGGGCAAAGTAACAATAGTCTTGTAAGTAAAAGTGGTGAAAAAGAACAATTCTTAGTTCAATTTTTCCTACACGAAAGAGTTTCAATCTATTATTTTAATCCAGAGTTCTGCTCTTGTTTGTGAAAATAAATATACTGAGATAATTTCACAAAATCTCAGGCACCAAGAAAATTTGTAGATTTTTAAAATGAAAATTGTGTTAAGTCTGAGGGTATTTTTGTTTCTTGCTATTTTAGCATGGACAATAATAAAAATCAATTGTAACTCTGAAATAAAAGGATACAGACATACAGCACTGCCATGAAAAAATGGGGAATTACACCTATGTGTGCCCTTTTTCTTTCCTTTGGTTCTGTAGCTGTCCAGTAAAGAGCATCCAAAATATCTTGACCAAAAGATGAAAACAGACGATCAGCTACCTAGAAAGAGAAAGAGAAAGAGAGAGAAAGAAAAAACTACATGCCAAATAGTAGTACATACCTCTTAGGATTTGTAATTTCTTATTAAGTTATTATAATAAGTGCCATATCGGTGGTCTATGGAACAGGTTGTGCATGCCCAAGGAAACTTTAGAGTTTGATTTCTTGAATGTTGAGAGACAATGTAGAAAGAAGAGAATACCTGAACTAGGGAGATCTAGATTTAATGTCATGCTTGACATCAGAACAGTCTCCCTCAACCAAATATATCTTACACAGTTATTACAAGGTTGACTCCCATGTATACCACCATGCATCTACAGAGAAGGGTAATTCTTCTACTACTATTGCTATTATAATAATGAAGGCAGGTAGCTTACCTGTGTTGTTCTTCAAGTGGTCATCTGTGCATTCACACATATGGGTGCTGTGCCTGTGCAGCACCTGTATTCAGGAAGATTATCTCAGCTAGTAACATTTTTGATGGGGACGCCCTTCTATAAATGGGCGAAGTCCCTAGCCCATTGCCAGTCCAGCTAGAGAACACCCGTTCGCCCCCAACTGGTACCAGCATGATAAAACATAATACATGATAGACATGATAGAAATTAGATTGTATTGCATGAACCCAGTCACTGCCACTGATGTGGGGCTGGCAGGTGGGTTGTGTGAATGCACAAATGTGAATGACAGTTACAGGTAAACAACCTGCCTTTCTTTGCTGTGGTCTTTGTGCATCACACATATGGGTGACTAGCAAGTTTACCGAACTTGGAGTTGGGTCAGTGTCATTACAGATGAAAGGACAGAAGAGCCAAAAGAACAGTCCAATCTAGCCTTTACAACAAGATGGCAATGACTGATAAAGGTGCATGAGGTGGACCATGTGGCAGCTTTGCATAAGTCTTGTACAGGTATGTCTGCACGTAAGACTGAAGAGGTGGCCACACCTTTGGTGAAATGACCTTTTGGGAGGATTGGAAAGTCCAATTTAGTGAGTTGGTATGAAGGCTTTACGGTTTTGACAATCCATTTTAACAAGCATTGGGGTCCAATCAGTGCTCCCTTTTCATGTCCAGAGTACTTGATAAACAGTTGCTTGGTTTTCCAGAACGATTCAGTTTGGGACCAGTAAAAGACAAATGATCTGTGGACATCGAGACTGTGGAGTGACGGTTCAATCAGTGTAAATGACACTTAGAATTATGCCAGTAACATGATATCTTAGTTGAGTTGGAACAATGTCATTACCTTTTGGAGGAAGGTTGGGTCCATACAGAGGACCAACTTTTCCTTATGGAAATTCAAAGGGGGGGGGTCAACCTGAAGGGCACATAGTTTGCTCGCCCTCCTGGCAGAGGTTATACCTACCAGGAAGGTCGTTTTCCATGACAGCAAACTTAAATCAGTGGTGGCTCACATTTCAAATAGACATCATTATCGATTTGTGTCCTTCACGATCAGCTGGTACAGTGTGCTCTCTGTTTTGAAGACCCTGTGTAGACTCAATGACCACCGAGTTTGGATGGGGGTATCATAGCAAAAATGGAATGTCCTGTTATACATTGACTCCAGGTGCCAGGAGGTTGGATGTGGGTGACTGGGTAGCTCCCATGGTTTCATCATGGCCTGGCATAGGGTGGAGATCAGAAGTAGGGCCACCAGAACCGCATCCTCTGTCCTGCTAACATCGTAGATGTTATCCTGTCCTGGATCCATGTGCTGGATGTTGACCCTTAAGGAGGTTGACATACAAACCAGTAGTTCGGAGAAGTGTCCCATACTCTCTCCGGGTGATCCCAGGCCTTGAGTCGAAACCATAAGGTTGGGTAAGGTAGATGCCTGCTCTGTGTCTTCTGAATCTGATTGCTGCACTTCAAGCTGAACTTGAAGATGATGAACATGCCCGAGATCCTTCTTCCACCAGGACTGTTGCAGTTGTTTCTTCCTGAGATGTGGATGGTATGTCTGCAGATTGTTGTGGTCTGAGGTGTGGAGGTGGTAGGTAAGGGTATCCGTAGGGTGGGAGGTATTCCCACGGATATCCATTTCCATATCCTCCATATGGGGGAGGCATCCAGTATTGGCTCTTTCCATGCTGAGGGAACTTAGGTTCGAATGGAGGAGGAGGTCTTCAGATCAAACGCGGAGGTTTCTGGCAATGGATGCCCATACAGAGTTGGAGTGGGAGATGTATCAGCTCCTGATGCTCTTGAACTGTAAACACTGACCAGTCAGACAGTGCCGGAGGGTGCATGGGAGACTCCTGAATCTCTCCTTCCAAGATGGAAGTTCTGAACATTGATTCTGGTGCTTGAGTCTTGACTGGGCTGAAGCAAGATCATGGAGAGGGTCTTGGTGATGGGCTTGGCATGTGGCAGAGATGGTTCTGATGTTTTCTGTGAAAAAGAATGGAATGAAGGCTTCCTTGATACTGACATGCCCTGTTCCATTGCAGATTGGTGTGGAACATCCTTCCATGCTGAATAAGAATGCCATTTCTTTTTCATCTCCTGCTTCACCTTTCTGGGAAGCTTTTCTTTAGCGGTCCCTTTGGTCTCAAGGTGCTTCCTTTAATCCTTGTGTTTTTTAGGAGATTCAGACCATCCCGAGCACTCTTTAGCAGACTAAGCACTTTTACCATGTTTGGCACACGGAGGGGTACTTCCTTCAACTGCTGAAGGACTGGCAGACTGAGCTACGGTAGCCTCTCTCATTGCAATCAAGGCCCTATCCTAGAGCTCTTTCTTGAGGCAATTTTTGTGGTTCTTGCAAGTCTGTTTGGTGAAGGCTTGACAATGAACACATCTGTCCATGATATGTCTTTCACCTAAACAGAGCAGGTGGATCGAGTGCGTGTCCGTAGACAGCATCTTCGCTCCGCATTGAGTACACCTTCTATAAGCAGAATGCTACACCATCAAGGGAGAATATGAGAGTAAAGGGTAGAAGAGAAAAAGGATGGATGGGTTTTTTTAAAAATTTTTGGTGGGGTGGGATATGTGAGGGGATGGGGAAAGAGAAGGGTTTCTGAAGGAGGGTTTGAGGTTGGGAAACACTTGGATTGTGAAGAGAAGATTTAAGGAACTTTTAAAGTTTTAAGATGAAGTAGAAGTTTGTGAGGGAAACTGAAAGTAATGAGAGAACCCAAGGAACAGTGAAAGACAGTCAAAAACAGACTGGCGATGGAGTAGGGAGTCCACCCATTTATAAGAGGGGGTGGGGGAGCGGCGTTCCTGCCAAAAATGTTATTAGCTGAGAGGCTCTTCTCAAATACAGGCACTGCACAGGCACAACAACCATATGTGTGATGCACAGAGACCACCACCACCACTAATAACAACAACAGTAACAATAATAACAGGTTGTGTTGCTGAAGGACTTTGAAAATCAGTTTAATACAAGAATTTGCTATTCAGAGAAACAATATAAAAATCCTATACAGGTTGCCTATATTGGTTTTTATGAACCCAGCAATATTTATATTTTTTTTCTAGGAAGTGGGATATGAATGTATCTATTACTGTGTTAAATCGTTTGTTGTTACGTCTGAACAGAGCAAATGTCTAGCTAGACAATTTTAGGCATACTTAAAACTTGGCTACTTAATAATCCTAAAAATGATTATAGTTATATACAAATATATTTACGGCTTGTTACTGTTTAAGAAAAATACAAATTTACCTCTAAATTGGCAAAAAAGACATAGAAAATCAGACTGTCACCTCAAGAAAATTGTTGCCTGATATATCAAGGGAAGAAATTGTGCTTTGAACATAGTTATCACACCTACCTCAAGCATATTATAGATAATGTAGAGTTTAATGACAGACTGTCCTCTTATCAGGTGGTACATCATAGAATAGTCAACATAATGCATCATGAAGTAGCAGATAACCAGTATAACTCCTTTGAATATATCACACACCTGAGCAGGCTGCAGCAAACGCCTATCACTGAAACACATAAAGCAAACAAACAGTACATTTCATATATTTCTCACTGTAGCAACATATTGCTAATATGAAATCCTTTTTCAAATTAAAGTAAGCCCAAAACAATTGATTATAAAGCTATTTCTTATCAGAGTGTATGTCACTGGGCCTTCTCTCCTTCAGTCAACATGTGGCAACAACCATTCTATCAGTCTGCAAGCAGAGATGAGAAGCAGGGCCACACCATCAGCTCTGCTGAATGACCATCTAGCTCCTTTCCACTTGAATAGTTTCCATTGTAAGAATAATTAACTCAAAGAACTGGTATCTGAGATTAGTTTTTCTCCTTTCAGTTTTCCAGCATTTTCTATTTCTATAGTGTCATTTAGATGGTATGTCTGCAGGTAAGGCCTGTCCCAACAAACCTAAGCTCAGAAAACCTTTTGGCTATATGAACACGCTTTGTACCTAAATAGATATAGATATGCATTCTGTTTTAAGAACAAATGTTGCACATTACTACAGGTTTTGTGACCAGTAAAATAAGGACTGATGAATTATACTTATCTCTTTTTGTATAGGCCACTCAACATATACATTTTCATTTCTCCTTTTAAAGGACATTGAAACTGATTTGCAGGAGTATACCTATAAAGCTGTTTTGCTGTAAGCACAAACTATGCAGAAGTTTTCTGAATTAAACAAGGCCAAACTTTATTCTAAGAAATGACCAAAAATATCCAAAATATGATCAGCAAGTAAGGTGATTAAGAAAATGTTGTTCATGGTGTGTTGTATAGCTTTGTACTTTGGAAGTCAAAAATTTTACATGCAATTATATGAAATGAGCAACGGAATTGAAGTATACTAATGGGAGACCATAAAATAAAGCATAGAATACAAAGTATCTTGCCATACAGATAACAGATGCTGATGTGGCTTGCACATAATTCTAACCCATTTATTTATCCTATTAATTGTTGAATTCTGGATTGTAGTGATGTACAAACCCAGCAGTGTTAGCAACTTTGTTTATTAACTGGAAAAAAAAACCCAAAGCAACAAAAAAGTGACTCTATAATTCGGGTTCTGAATTCTGTGTTTAAACCATGGGTTGTCATTATGTATGACGCCAGAACTGTGGTTTGTTTCTTGGCTGTTTCACCATGCTATAGAAGCAACAAGCAAGAGTGGTAAAAAAATAAGCCACTCTACATACCAGTACTACAGTGCCACAAAGGCATTTAGGATACAGAGAATGGATGAAGGAGGGAAACAATGTTCTGTCACCTGATAGAAAACACTCTGGACTGGCAACAAACCCTGGATTAACTATGGGTTAAATAAATCATGAGTTACCATTAATATAACCAGTTTGTTGTATAGTTGGATCAAATGCAAATTATACCAGTTAATGGGGGTCTGTTTGTGATTACCTAATTTCTGAAATTTCTTGCTCCAGTTCTGCTGGTAAACTGGGAAAGGAAAATCTGACTTCTTGGGGAAAAAGTTGTGGCAGAAATAGGGGGTAGAATTCTACCTTGATAGAATGTCAGATCTTAAATCAACTTCAAAGAGGGATTTAAAACCTGATTTGTTCTGAAGATCATAATTTTTTGTCATTCAGATGAAATGGGCAATGATGCAGGCAAGCTCCAAAAGGAAGATGATGGATAATACTTGGCAGCAAGTTAACTGATCTGTAATCTGTCGGTATTAATTCAAAAGATAGGTGTGAACACATCTGTATGAAGAATTAACTCTTGCCACATATTAGAAAGATAAAACTGGAATCATGTTTTAAGGCCAGAGTTCTTACTAAAACAGGAATTTTTAAAACAATTCAAATGCACAAATGTAACATTAATTACTTTAAATGCTCAAGACAAAATTATCCCTTCACATACAAATGTAAATACTACTACAATATCACATTTTTCAATATAATAAATCCAGCTTAGTCTAAACTCAGTTACAAGAAAATTCACTAAATTTAGGCACTTTTTTTGTTTGTTGAAAAGCTTTTGGCTGTGGGACTCACCCTAGTGTCTCCTGGGTATTTTAGGTTTTAAATGATATCTAAGATGTCACCTCTTCTAAAAGTCAAACTTGTGGCAGTGCTCTGGATCACTTAAATAAGAGCAGGTAGCCCAAATTCAACAGTAAAATGAGTCAATAACCCTCATATGCCTTACCTGGACTTCTCAGTGGCTTTCAATACCATCAGCTATGGTATCCTTCTGGACAGGCTGGTTGAGTTGGGAGTTGGAGGTACTGCATTGCAGTGGTTCCATTCCTACTTGAATGGCCACTTCCAGAAGATGGTGCTGGTAGACTGTGGCTCTGTGCTGTGACAACAGTGCCATGGAGTACCACAGGGCTCTATACTTTCCCCATGCCATTTAACATCTACATGAAACCACTGGGTAAGGTCATCAGGAGGTTTGTGCTGAAGTGTCATCAGTACACTCTACCTTTCCTTCACATCTAGTCCAGGTGATGTGGTGATGTTTCTGAATCAGAGTCTAGCTGGAGTGATGGGCTGGATAAGGGCCAATAAACTGAAACTCAACCCAGATAAGTCATAGGTGCTGTTGATAGATGGGCCCCCTGCCTGGATGGTTGATGTGCACCTCTGTCCTGGATGGGGCTGTACTCCCCTAAAGGACAGGCTTTGGAGTCTGGGGGGTACTTCTGGTGCTGTCCCTGGAGTACCTGATGAGCTCTGTGGCTAGGAGCACCTTCTATCAACTTTGGTTGATATATCAGCTGTGCTGCTATGTGGATAGGCAGAATACAGCAACAGTGATCCATGCTCTGATAACCTCTTGGTTAGACTACTGTAGTGCTCTGCATGGGGCTGCCCTTGAAAATGGTCAGAAAGTTCCATTTGGTACAAAACAGAGCTTGTCTGCTAACATGAAATGGCAGGAAACAGCACATAACACCAGTGCTTTACCATCTATACCGGCTGCCGATTGACATCTGGGCCCACTTTAAAGTACTTACATTGACATACAAAGCTCTGAACAGTTTAGGACCTGAATATCTGAAGGAACATCTCCTCCCATACATTCCTACCTGAACCTTAAGATCATCCTCTGAGGTCCTTCTACGGGAGTCAACATTAAAGGACATCAGGAAGGTAGGGCTACTCAAGGAAGGGGTTCTCAGTTGTGTTGGTTCATTTATGGAACTCATTCTCCAGAGAAACATTATACATCTTCTAGCACTGGGCACATTTTTCTCCCAATATTTTGACAGTTAAGTGATGTATTTTTTAAGAAAAAATATACTTGTTTTTAGGTAATTGCTAGGCTGCTGTTTAATTGTTTATGTTTATTTTAATTTTGTTTATTATTTTATTAAATTTTGTTCTTTTGGGTTGGCTCAGGTGCAGGACTGATGAAATATATTGTTACTGTAATTGTATTGTATTATGATTATTTTGCTATTTTATTATTTTATTGTATTTTAATCTAACCTTATTTTTAATATTGTAAACTGTTCTGAGAGCCAAATTGCTATGAAGGACAGTACATAAAAGCCTGCACAAGCAAGTAAGCAAGCAAGCAAATAAATACCTCATCCTCCCTGAGTGCTTTTCTCTTCATCTGACCTTCCTTGTATTGGAAGTGAGCTCAGCTGAGTGAAATTCACTTGGGGAAGGAACTATGGGCAGGTAAGAGGCAGGCAAAGGGATCTGCACTGTTCAGTAGCAGCCTTCTTTTGTGGTAAAGGCAGACTGTTTTTATACACACAAAAATCTATAGTCACATCTAGTTTGACTCCAAGCCTTAGTACGAATCTTCAAAATTTACTAACAGCACACAAGAGATAACCAACTGTGCACAACTTAAGAATAACCAGAGTATGCAAATAAGTGCTATTAGCTCAAAACTATGAAATTCCATTTTCCCAGCATACAGTGACAAACATAAGTAATGTCTACATTTGAAACTTTTTTCCTACCAGAGCTATTCTACATCTAACAAATTATTTTTCAAAGCCAACTACTGTTGGTCAATTGTGCTCTGTAAGGAAACCTTTGTACTAACTTTGCGATGTTCATTCATGTTTTCAATATGTTTTCCTATAAGATCATCTAGTTCTCAATCAATTGTAATCAGAGCTACCTATACTCTACGACACTATCATAAATAGATTCTGTACCCATTTCACACAGAGTACTGACTCCATCTGCTGGTTGTAAAGAACATCTAACAAGCATTGTTGACCACAAATAAGATCAACACAAATACACACATTTTTACTGAATACTATTCAGCAAGTAGAGAAAACTTGAGGGTTTCATTGCTTGAGATTGGCCCATACCAAATTCTAAGTTCATTGTTGTGTAATATCAGAGATTCTGAATCTAATTCTGAAAAGTGCCTCCTCTCCATCCTGGGTACTCACATCCAGTTTTGATTTGGCCTCAGCACCCAACTTCTTGCATAAGCCTCCTTCTCCATCACCAAGATGTTTCTGAGATTTGACATCAATATCAAAAGAATTCACATCAAAGGCAAGGGCCTTTATCTTGTCACTGAGTGCAAACCTGTTTGTTTACTTAAACTTCACACTAAACCATAGTTTGATTTGACATCTGAATTTAGTCAAATGTCTGACCCTCTCTGTTACTAAATATTTTTTTTAAAAAGCCCAAAGGTACAGCATACTGTATCCCAATCAGAATGAAAAACAAAGCGACAAAATATGCCTCAGAAATACTTTGGTAAGTAATCAGATGCAGAATAGGTCATCAGGTTTTAGAAAATAGCAAGAGCTTGCTTCAAGGCAGTATATAGTAGATATTTAAATTTAAGAGAAAAGATTAACTTAAGTGATTTAAAACATTTTCCATTTGGAAAATATCATAATATTGCTTTGTAAAGAACAAAAAAGCCCTGAGTGGGGAGCTGGAGTCACACTATAGAGAGGTGTTCCATAGTTTTCCAGTTTTGTGTATATCTGCAGGTGTGGGATTGGGTAATAACCTAGCCTCTGGTGGTGCTTCACCAGCCTGAGCTAACCACAATGGTTTTAGGAGTGATGATGGAGTTTCCTCAACATCTTGTGCTGAAAAACTCCAAGACACATGCTGAGGCCTCCTTGTCAGGAGTGGCTCAGGACTTCGTGGCCTCCAAAGCAATCATGGTTTTGTTCCAGTTACTAACCTAATGAACTTTCTATACTTACGCCATCATGAACAGATCACTACTTGCTGAGATGTATGCTTCAGAGCCCCTGCAGGAGTGGCAAACCAATTAAGAAGATCTACCTGAGGACTGATGGCTCTTGGGGATTTCCTTGTCACCTCAAGCAGACAATTCTGCCAAAGCCCTATATGACCAAAAGAATGGTCATATAGGGCTCAGGAAAGCCTGAGCAGTGCACATTAAAGCTCCTCAGCAGCCTGAGTGAAGCCAAATGAACTTTTGTTTTCTGAGTGATGTAATGTGTAAGACAGCAACTGAACTTGATACTGATGAAAGTCAGGATAGTGACCAATTTGTGTGATGCTCTGCAGATAAAATAGATCATAGCTGTGTCACATTGGATGTCACAGTTCAAAAGTTCATAGCACAGTGTCCATGGGTTGCATGGCACCCATAAAGGGGTCTTCAATACAAAGCATTTTATTCCTCCCCTCTTAATATACATTCACAGATTTGTATGAAATGCATACAACTTTCCAGCAATTCTGCATAGCCTTTAATAAAGGCAGATCAAATCTCCAAATATCGGAGAATCCATTTCTGCTGACAATTTGATAATTTCCAAGAAGCAGGTAAATTATGTAAATGAGTATGTACACCAGTGAATATTAGAGACTGTCCCAGTACAAAATTTATCAGTTTAATAGCTTTTTCACAAAAGAAGCAACTGCTGGACATTGTCAAAATATACGAGTATGCTTAAAGAAGCATTAGCTGTACTGCACTCTTAGAGTTTACCAAATTATTAAAGAGGCATTGTGCTTTCCAATAGTCATGAAACAAACATTTTTGCTAAGTAAGATGCAAACCAAGATCCACAGATGTGGCAGCCAGATGCCAAAATGGCCATCAACTGCTTTGGTATTTTGTGGTGGTCTCACAGCAGTTTCTCAAATCCTAAGTGTATCCCGGGTACAACACATCTCGGCCCCTTTGCCATAGTTGATACGGATGGCAAAGTTGTGGATGTAACTTTGCTCCTGATTGTCCAGCTATAACGGCTATTTTTCACTTTGTACAGCCCGAGAATATAGAAAGGAACCTTGGAGAGGTTAGGCCCATCACTTGTGGGACCCTTGCCCTTTCTGTTTCATAAAAGCAGGTGGAAGAGGGAGACTGGTTGAGTCAGTAAGGATTGCAGGAAACATGTACTTACAGAAAGATGTGGTTCCAGTTTGCTTGAAAGAGGCTGTGATGAGACCTTTGTATGAAATGAGATGAGACACAACTCTCCCTGAACTCAAATGTTTGGCTAATTTCCAGTCAGTTTTCAGTAATCAACTTTGGGCAAGGTCCTAGAGTATGTGCTGATTTCTCAATTTCTTGATGAGCTGGATTTATATAAAAAGAGATGTGGAGGTCTTGCTCTTGTGCTGCATCATTAAATGAATTTACAATAAGACACTAAGCTCATTCCTCCCTACAGAGCTGTCAAATGTTCACCCTTGCCTTCCTATGTTATAATGTACATTTCCTCCTCTTTAATTCAACCAGTGCTTGCTTGCGGACATGAGTGACTCTTTTCTCTACCCATAAGTCTTCTCCTCCTTCTTCATTACACCAGCTGGGTCCTCATTCCACTTGTTCTCCAGTCAGTCTGTCACTGCACAAAGTGGGCCTAGCAAACCATGCTTTGCCTCACAGTTGTTTACCTCAACAATTCCCATTCACACACCCAACACATTGGTAATTGCCTTCCAAAAAAGCATAGCAAGGTAAGATTGCATATGCAACAACATGATAGGCAGAAGGGACAGTGGATGGTGTTGGAACACATTGCTCAAACACACCAGTATAATCTAGCATGCAGTATAAAGGCGGTAGGACCAAGCTAAACAATCTAGATTATACTCAGTGTTTTATCAATAGACTCCAAATGGTATAAATGTCTTTATTATTTACATTCATTTATTGAAGACCTTTAAGGTATTAGTAAAGCAAAAATGAATTGTTTTAAAAAAACAGAGCACAATTTAAAGGATGGTATAGTAATATGTACAGTGACATTAGTCATATTCAGGTGTTCTCTCTGTCATTAAGTTCTAAATGCAAGGAGTTGGAGAGAGGATGAGCATGCTAGCTTCATCCTCTCCCTCACCATTCCCTCATTGTCCTCCACACACAGAAGGGCACACCCTGCAGAGCTGAGCTCCTTTATTTGTGCAGGTGCCTAAAATTCTGGGGAAAGTTTACATTGATATTTTCTTCTGGAGACAATCATACTTTGATACTTACATTGATACTTTCTTCTAGAGACTACTACATACAGTGGTACCTTGGCTCACGAACTAAGTTCATTCCAGGACTCTGATCGTGACCCAAATTAGTCGTGAGCCAAGTCAAATTTCCTGACAAGGTTCAATGTAAATAAGGTTAATCCATTCTGTAACTATTCTTTTTTTAGTCTCAAAAATTTGAAGCAAAGTGACAAAGAACAACAAAGATTGCGGCCATCTTGCTCCCACCCCGAGCACGAGCATGGCCATCCCCCCCCCCCCCCAGCACGACCGCGATCGCACCCGTCTTCCCTGCACAAGCGCGATCGCAGTCATAGACAGGTACGATCGCGGGCACGCTCAGGGGGAAGATGGGCTTGATCATGGGTGTGCTGTTAGGGGAGACAGGCACGATTGCAACCATCACCTGATGGGGAGTTCGCGACCTGGGGCAAATTTTTTCAGGAATTTCTGTTCACGACCTGATTTGGCCATGAATTGAGGCATCTGTGAGCCAAGGTACCACTGTACCAGGAAAACATTTGAACCTATGCTGGACACACAGACGAGATTCTATGGATTTTTTCCTTTGTACTGTGCATATAGGTCACAAGCTGTCTCATTTCCATAATTTCTAGTGCAAGACACAGGTTGCCATATTGTTCAAACTCAGCAAAGGGTGGGCAGTAGGGATAGCTATTGAACCTTCCTGGAACCCCAGAAAAAACCAAAGGTTGTGAGGTGGTTTAGATAACATAGAAACCCACAGCTGGAGTGGGCAATTATGGAAATTGAGGCTGCACTTAATTAGCACACACGTGGCTTCTGTTACTCTCCTGATTCTGCAAACCTGGCTAGAGAATGCCTCACATGCGTTGGCCATCAAGCAGCTACAAACACTGTAAGATATACATGTTATGCATTCAGGTGTAATCTACGAGTTTAAGGACATGTTTAACAAACCCTCACACATAGTTTTAGATGTGCCCTTAAAATCTTAGGTTGGAAACCCACGCATTACACAGGTATACTCAATTGAGTTCAGATTGCCTGGAGCCACATGTGTGGGAAAGTCTTGGGGAAGAGGTTCCTTGTTTGTCTGGTGCTTTAAAGCATGCATTTTGCATAAGAAATATTTAACAAAAGCTAGTAACTTCCTTTATTTGTATGATGTTTAATGAACCAAACAACCACATGCGCACAGACAGCACAACATGCTAAAAAAAGAAAACCATCACCAACCTTATTCTTAGGCTTCGGTGAGAGCTGTCTCAAAACAAGTAAGGCAAAAATGAGAAAATGCATGATAATTAATAAAGTTTCAAACACTTTCTCAAATAAATTTATCATAAAAAATAAAGAAGTGTGGTAGCTGATATGAGAGACAGTAACAGTCATTATTTAAGATCATTGGTGCAGTTTAATATATTTTAGTACAATTGCCTTTATGTTTTTGTGTAACAAAGTAGAACTCACACTGGAAGGTAGAAAAGGAGCAATCAGATAGTTACTATATTGTTGCATTAAAAATAGTCTTCCTAGCGAGAAAAGTCACTATTCTACAGGTCATGAATCCATAATGTGGAAACCATGGGCACCTCCAATAGAGTTTGAATATGGGTCCCCAAAATGAAGCCCATTAGCACCCAGAAATACTGTTTTAATAGTTCAAATGAAAATATTTTCCTTATTTTAAATATACATATATGGATCTGCACAAAATGCACAAAACTTTCTAACAGCTATACAAAGGTTTCAATAAAAGTAGACTAAATATCCAAGATGGCACCCATATGCCATCGGTTCACATATCAAGTGTGTTATAAGGTCCTCAATCCATCTAATTATAAGGAACGAGTGTTTACCCTTCCTTCCTCACACACTTTATTCCTGCTTTACATTACTTCAATTACTATTATTTAAACATATAGCCCACCTTACACCTTATGGTCTCAGCACACATTATATATTGCTAAAACAACATAAAGCAACTTAAAACTACCTTGAAAAGCTCAGTTCACATCACTCACATAACTGCAAGGAGATAAAACCACCATCTCATATCCTCCATTTGCCTCTAAAAGGCTGGGTAAAGAAGTGTGTCTTCCCTTGCCAATAAAATGCATGTAATACTAGATGTACCCCACAGGGCATGGTTTTCCACAAAGTCAGGGTCACACACAAAAGCCTTTGCATGTACCACTTCCCCATATACCTGTAAGGGCCAAATTATTGATAACAGTGTTCCCCTGCTGATCTTAGCACTCAGACTAATTTACAAGGAAAGAGGTACTCCTTCAAATACTGGGGGTGCCAAAAATGTATACACATTTTAAGAGATGTTATCTATATATTACTTCTTGAAGGTGGGTGTGTTCAATGTATTTTCGGTATCAGCATGAAGAAAAAGGAATAATAAATAGAAATAATGTAATAATGTAATAAACTTATTACATCTAGACATTAACTTTTCATTTCCCTGTAAAAAATACCCTTCCTCCTTGTCTAAAAAATGTGTTAATTGCTGCCTTGAGCTCTTCATTGTCAGAAAATCGCTTTCCACGAAGATCTATTTTAAATTCGGGAATAGGTAGTAGTCACTGGAGGCCAGGCCCGGGCTAAAGAGTGGGTGGTTTATTTGTTCAAAACCACAGTCTCGCACAGCAGCCTTCGAAACACGCGCCGTGTGAACGGGCGCATTGTCGTGAAGAAGCAACACACCTGCAGTCAGTTTTCCCTCCTTTTTTTCTTTAATTGCTTCTCTTAAATTACGCAGAGTGGTTGCATAAGATGCTGTGTTTATGGTTTCACCTTTTTTTGTGTACTCGATCAATAAAATTCCCTTTGAGTCCCAAAACCCTGTGGCCATGATTTTTCCGGCCAATGGAGTGACTTTGAATTTCTTCAGAGGGTCAGCACCTTTTTTATGCCACTGCATGGATTCCTGCTTACTTTCAGGGTCATAGTAATGAACCCAAGTTTCATCTCCAGTAACAATCTGGTCAAAAATACTCCATGGATTGTCACCACAGAGCTTTAAAAACTCCCTATAGAACTCGACTTGCACTTGTTTCTGAGGCGCCATGAGCATTCGCAGCACCCATCTTGCACAAACCTTTGAAAGGTTAAGATGGTCATGAAAAATAGTAAATATGGTACCAACAGATAGGGTTGTCATCTCTGCTAACATTTTTATTTTTATTCGGGCAACTTTCAATACAAGTTTCTCAATTTTTTTCACATTTTCTTTTGTAGTGGCAGTAACCGGCCTGCCCGAGTGAGGGTTGTCTTCAGTGCTCTCTCTGCCCCTTTTAAATTCATTTGACCACTTTTGAACAGTAGATAATGAAGGTGCAGAGTCCTGGCAAACAGCCACCATCTCTTCGTGAATGATTTTTTTGACTTTTTCCTTGTTTTGTAAGGAACTTAATCACAGCGCGGTGCTCAATTTTCTTCAACATTGTCACGTCAGTCATTACAGTCGTCTTTCACTGAGGATTACTAGGGAACTAATGATCACACTTATTTGAAATTTTGCATGTATACCCTCAGATAGTGTCATTAGCTAATGAAATAATTAAATTACCCACATCAATAGCAAATCAACCCGATATTGAGAATACATTGAACGTATGATAGCAATGTGAAATAGAACATTCACTCAAAAGATGGGGGTACTTTGGGAAGACATTGAAATGGCATGTGGAGTGATACAAGTGGACATTTTGGTTAATGTTGCTCAAGTAGTAGTTTGTCATAATCAGAAGTGTCTGGATGCTGATGGTAACCACTTTGAGCAACTCTTGTAATTGCAGAAGTCAAACATGACTTGTATTCATCTTTTGTTATCAGTATATATTAACTATTACAATTTTAATACAGCTTTTTCCTTTTTTAAAATGTGTACACATTTTTTTTGGCACACTCTGTATTTGGGACCCATTATTTTAGGCTTTGTAAGAAACATTGTGGAACCTTTTGGACTGGGGTGATCTGAGCATTACCTGTGCTACCTGTCAGCAGAGAGACTGCTGTATGCTACATTAATTTTAGCTTCTGAAGGGTCTTCATGGTGGGCTAACATGGAGTGCAGTCCAACAGCACTAAGCTAAAGTTGTCAGAAAAGTCTGAACCACTGAACTTTGGTTATTGTAACCTGACACATCAGGATAATAAAGCGGAATCATGATTATCCTAGTTTGTTCACTGGCGTTCAGACAGTGTTCCATTGTTCCGACATAATGGGGGACTCAGGATAAGATTAATGTGCTAAAGTTATAACAAATGGAGGAAAGAAGGAGCAAGGGGGAAGCACTTAGCACTGATGCTTCCTAAAGCCATGGCTTCAAAAAACCATATTTTATGAAGTCAGGATCAATTGTTTAAACCAGACCAATTTATTATACAATAAAGCAGGGGCCATGGTTTGAAAAATACTTCATCTGCATTATATAAACATTTGAAACTAAACTTGTTTGAGACTGAATTTAATCTGAACTAGGTTTGAACCCAAAGGTGCTACTTGAGGTGACACTTCTATTTGAGCAAGTTAATTCACCAATTTTCCGCAAATTCTCTCCTTGTGCTGCAGATCCTAACATCATATCACATGGCATACCCCTACCCTAGTCAGCAAGAGCTGATTTTCAGGGTACACAGGAAGATACAATGACTGTGAAGTGGTTAGAAAACTCTGTTGTAGAACTGGAGCTCTTCTTGTACATCCGTCAATTCATGCCACTGTTATTTCCAATCTGTTAGCAGCAGAATTTTTCCTAGATCATTTGCCCACTACTTTTTGTCACACATCAACATTATGAAAGAAAAAGGAACCAAATATCAATCTTCCTGCAAAATTGTTTCTCTGGAAATTGATAGGACAATTTCAAATTTTATGTAGGAATGTACTCTGATTTAATTATTCATTAGTTTTTCAAAATAAGCTGTCCTTCAAATGACAGCTTTTGCTTTTCTTTAAAGTGTTCCTCACTAATGGACACTTGAGAAATTTATAACCAAGTGTTTGTTAATAGTTTCCTGCATTTTTAACAATACTACCTTCAGTTTATGAGGTGGCAACATTTTAAGTGATACCATAGAAGAAAAATCAGGATATATACTCACCGTGGAGAAGTTCCATGTGACATCACATTCCATCCTATAAAGGAAGTGAAAGTGCTCTCCCCTTCAGTCTAATTTACAAGAAATAAAAGAGAGAGAGAAAGAAGGTTGTAATGTTGCTACACTACGTACGTTGACCATCATGGAATAGAGGGAAAGTGATGTTGAAAGCTTTGTTTTCCCTCATGTAAGCATGTACAGTTTGCAACAGGAAAAGGAAATTTTCCCCTTTGAGATGAAAAAAATGAACCACATCTGCCTAAATAAGAATTTTTGGATAGACAAGCCTGAACCTCAGCAAAAGGATCAATTAAAAGTTTGATGAAGACACACAAACCTACTAATGTCCACATCAGGCAAAAGAAAAAGGAAATTAAAAACAAAGAAAGTCTGCATTTCTAAAAAGTTTTCTTTAACAACTTTTAGGTGGAATTAAATAAATACTTGGGATTTTCCATGAATGATGTAAGCTATGCTTATTTATATTGCAGCATGTACCAAGTGTGATTTTCATAGTCAATGTCTAAGCATGTTGTCTGAACTTGGTCTGCACAGTTTATTGGATTGGCAAGCTACCCTCCACTAAGCCCACAACAGATCATGGCTTGCTGTTCCTCCTCCCACAATCCATGCTGCCCAGGTTTGGGAAACATGACAAGCCATTCATGGCTGGTGATGAAAGAAATCATGCCCCATGGAAACTTAATTTACAAACTAGATCACTATCTATCAAAAGAATAAAAGGTGTATGGTTCCAATTAGGAGAAAATTTATGTTTATTCTCTTACACAAAATATACTGCTGCAAACAACAGTAATATATAAATATTACAGGGGATTCAATAATCTAAATATTGGGATATAATGGTTTATGCTATTATATCACAGTACTTCTGACAGACTTAAGTTACTTAAAATGTGTGAACTTCAGAACAAAAGAAAAAAATAATCCTACCGAAGGAATATATAAATAGTACAGGGGATTCAATAATGATCTAAATATTGGGATATAATGGTTTATGCTATTATATCACAGTACTTCTGACAGACTTAAGTTACTTAAAATGTGTGAACTTCAGAACAAAAGAAAAAAATAATCCTACTGAAGGAAACTGTATATATATTTCCACAAAAGAAATAAGACTAAGGTGGAGGGAAACAACTATTTTCTGGTTATCAATTAGGACAATTCATAGCAAAAGTTATGGTAAGGCTGGCCATAAATGTAGATACATGAAGAAAGAATAACATCTTGTTGAGAATAATACCTTACAGCTTTTCCAGAGAGCAGCTTTCCCTCAAGTTGAATTAACTTTTCCCAAAGTTAAATCAGCAAGTGGGAAAAGTACAGTGATTCATTACTGTTTTAGTGGTTTTTCATAACTGTTTTTCTTTTACACCATGCCACAATTGCTGGTTATCCTGCTGGATCCCTACTTGCTATTTGGACAAGCAGGAAGTGACACAGGCTCATTGAAGTTGCTGAAGTCAGGTGCATTCAGGCATTATGTCTGACACTCAAAAACAAGCATTTGAAACCACCCTTAAATTTTCAGGCATCAAAAGATACCATTTTTGTTGTATGGTTCTTCCCTAACAAAAGCTATAGATGAAAATAAAACCTAGCTGAAAAACTAGCTCAAATAATAAAAATGTATCTGGCAGCCCCGCAACAACAAAAACAATTAATGAATGTACTCTCTCCACAAATAATTTGCCAAATGTTGGAGATGCACAAATACAACGGAACAGGAAACAATCTAAGTACGAAGCAATTTCCTTGAAATGTGTTTATCTAGCTAAAGAGTCTGGATGCTGAAATGTGGCTATATGAAGTTTGCATTTCACACCATAACATTTATGGTGTTATGGATAAGGATTAACCTAAAAAAAGAGGATTTAAAATGTTTTCCAAGCAAAGAAAGGGTATACAATTTTGATTTTAAGAAGGTACAAGAGACTAGAATAACAGAAGTACAGAAGGAAAAAAAAGGAAGGTAGGAGATAGAGAATACTTAATCTTTATGTTGAGATTTTAAATAAACAGAATGAAGGGAGGAGCACTTTTAATTTCTACACAGAATGGAATATGATGTTGTGCATATAGGAAGACCTTTCAAGCAGCTCAAACAAACCAGAGGGAAAAATGCCCACATAGTACAGGAAGATGATGACCACCCACCCATACAATTATTTCAGACCTTCATTTCCTAGAACAGTGTTGCATAAATATCCCAATGTATATTCTGCATTAATACATTTGTACAGTGATTGTTTTCTGTTTAAAACATACAAAAATCAAGAAATATAAAAGAGCATTTTTACTGTGAAAGGAAAAAAAATATATAGTGCATCAAACTCACATATTCAGCACTTACGCAACACCCCCAATTAAAATATTTTATGAAACAAGTTGCTTATCAAATAAAAATGTATTTAGGGAGATTTCAAAATGGATATGTTATTCTGTAAAAAAGCCATAAGTAAACTGAACCTTTGTACTGTCAATCCTACAGAAAACAAATGGTTGCTAAAACTATTCTTTGATGTTTGTACTTAAGACTTCTGCAATACCTTGGATAAGCTGAAGTCTAAGCTGCCAACTTCAGCAGCAGATTTGCAAGTGTCTGTTTCATTTTTAACAGTACAACCCTCAGTTTATATGGTGGCAACAATTTAACTTTTATTTATACACAATACCATGATTTAAGTATCACCTTGACTGCAGGCACCTATAACATTGACTGCAGGCACCTTCCTAGGATTAGGAAGGTTAATCTGTAAGGTGACTGATCTATGAAATAGACTATAAATGGATTCATCTTTCTTTCAGCAGAAGATTTAATAAAATTATCACACTGCTGAACAGAACATTGCTTTGGCTTGTAAGCCATGTTTTCATGTATGTTTGGCATCTCTATGCTTAAGTCCATACAATGTAATCTGATGGTGTTTCTTAAAAGTTTTATTAACAATTGAAGATTTCATCTATTCTCTTTTTTAAAATTTCTCACTAATTTATGAAGTGATGACACTGAGGACAAGCTTTATAGACAAAAGCTGTACAATGTAGCAATTTACCATAGAATGCATGTAATTGCTCAATAAGGTCATCTTTTTACCATCATTCCTTGCACAATAAGAAATCAAGTCTCACAGTGTAGCAGGATGATACATTTGCTTGGTTCAGAAGGTGCTTACATTGCACTGTGGTCAATTTCCATTTGGTAAATGGTAATCTGTTTTTACCCATAATTTATAAAGCTCAGAAGAAATTTAACAACATCATATTCAAATTATTTTTCTAGACTAGATTTGTAAATAGATTTGCAATTCTGATTATAAAACAATGAACAGATTACAAAAACTTTGTTTAGAGGGGCTGAAACAGTTTACATTATAATATTCACAGTATTCTACACCATTGATGCTGAATGAGTCTTGTAAAGAGACATCTGAAATACATTCTATTGAATCATCAAAAAGTACAGAGAGAAGTGTTCTTTAGCATGTCATTTACTGCTTTTTTAGAACTTTAATGCACTCAAGATTTAAATAACTAAAGTATAGTTCAAATGATGGGATTGGAGGCATAACACCTAATCACTGTAAAGATTATACTGCAAGGTAATCTACACTTATGATTTAGTGCATGAGATATACAACTTGACTGTTGAAGATTACAAGTCGTTAGCTGTAGAACCTTGCATTTAACTATTTTTAATCTGTAATATAGGTTCTAGCACAATACACTCTTGCTACATATTTCATTTAGCTCAAGAATTCTCTTTGCCGATAAAAAAGGAAAACATGATTTTTCATATGTAAAGAAGTCTAATTTCAGAACTAGACAACTCCTGTATCATCACTATAAGGTCAATATGCCTAGGCATCTTCCAGGTAGAACTAAGATAAGCATCTTACCTATTTTAGCCCTCTGATATCATTGTCATCATATCTGATCAATAAATAATAATAATAATAATAATAATAATAATAATAATAATAATTTCATGTCTTTTTCCATTCAAGGAAATCCAGGCAGTATACATAATTCTCCTCCTCCTCTCAGTCTTATTCTGACAATAGAAACCCTGTGAGAGTCTCTGAATGGCTTAAAGTCACCTCTCAGCACCATGGCTGAGAGAGAACTAGCATCTGGGTTTCCTCAGCCCCAGTCTCCCCCTCTTTAACGACGACACCACCACCAATGGTTCATTGACTTATAATTTAATAAAATAAAACTTAGGTATGCAGCATGCCCTTGACTCATGCTACTGGTTCAAATATTCTATAGGTTCTCCCACAATTTCCTTAGTGCTAAATGGAACTGCAGTGGAGAAAAGTCCATAAGTGAAAGTTGGGGAATCGTGGGTTTGTTTCAGATGGAAAGTGTTGACACTTTTAAATCAAACCAAGTCTAAAGCCATGCTGATTAACATAGCGAATTAAAAACAAATTGATATAAAAATTAGCAACACTTTGCAAAGGAATAAAAAAACTTACCACAAGCCGTAACAAGGCAATGTGATGAACCTGAACATTGCCAGAAAAACTCTCAATGGAAGAAGTGTGAAAACATACAGAAAAGCATCCAGGCACAAAAAAATTCCAAAAATCATCAACTAGAGAGTGAAAAAAGCAAGAAAGAAAAATTAGGATAATTATGTCATATTTTAAGAATTCCTTAATGACTAATACAATTATAATCATGTTTCTGCTTACCACAAAGAGACAGCCCAATTAAAACAGTTCATAATCTTAGACAAGGCACAGAACTCTCTGAAGAACCAGAAGTAACAAGCTGAAATACTAAATATTTCTAATGGCTGCTAAAACAGACAAGTTCTCACAATCTTGCTGAACCTTAGTAAGAAGAGGTCAAGCACTTAAGGAAAGTAATTTGAATCTATGGCACCTCCAAAGAAAAGTCATGGTGGTGAAGTTTCTTATGGGCTCCTCAAGCACTATTTGCTTAGCTCACTGAATTTAAGAAACACACTGTGCACTTGGAAAATGTTCAGAAAAATTCTGCTCCGCATGATACAAGCATTCAAAGTTTGCACATTTTCATGGTTCAGAGATTGCAACTGTTACACAATAGATTAATTACTCTTAGATACAGTTTCAGATCATCAACTTCGACCTTGCATTCATATTACAGTGAATAGTCTTTCTGGACTAATGAGACACAACTTTAGCAGAATCCATCTTAATTCTCTTTTCTGCAAGTTTCCCCTCACATGTGCAATGTATAAAATAATATACAATTTGATTGCACCTCATATTCTTGAATGAGAAAACAACTGTAAAAAAAGGAAACCTTCCAACCACCAACTTCGTAATATACACTGCAATTATGTATTGGGGTTGTTCAAGCAGCTACTCAGTTGATGCAAGAAGACAATGAAATCCAAAAGGTTTAGCCCAAGTGAACTGAATGTGCACTATAATCTAAAATCTTTTACAATGTGTATGTTTCTTTACAGAGAAACAGATGTGTAAAATACTCCCTGAAGATAATAAAAGTGGATACAGACTAATGATTTTCCAACTACGTGTTAACTTCTTAATGAGGAAGTGAGTAGTGCTATACTACGCTGAGATCTGGGCTACTGTTTAAAAAGGTAAGGCCGGGGTGAATAAAAATAATCCTAAAATAATTTTCCCCTACTTTTCAGTCAAGATTAGCTCCAAAAGTGGTGCACAATTAAAATTTACAAAGAAACACAGTATAAACTACAACCCGAATACAGTTGAATTCTGGGCATGAGGGTCAAGCCCTTATTTTGAATGTCAAGCCCTTATTTAATATTTTAACTGATATAATTGCTATAGCATATAAATTGGGTGAGGTATCCAGAGCACAGTTTTGTCAGTTTGTTTAGATACGTTTCAGATGATAGACCTTAAGGACCCTGACAAAATGCTCGGATAAGTCTGTGCCATCTATTTCATCTTGGGTCCTTGTTCCTTTTAGCTTATAAAAATCAGTGGGGAGGAAAGAGCCAGGTGGGCCAGGCAGGTGATCAATGCCTCTTGCATTGGGCTATCTGAAAGAGACCACTCCTGAAAAAACCTTCCCCAGAAGCAGGAAATCTTTTATCATTTAAGGCCAGTGCCAAATGTTCCCTTCCTGGGTAATGCTCCGGGTTAAGACCGATTATCTCGACCCAAATCAGTCAGGTTCAGGTAGGATTTTGGCATGGAAACAGCACTGACCACCTTGTATGATGACCTGTATTGGGAGAGATGGAGGAAATGATACTGGGCCTCACAGTGGCTTTCAATACTATTAATCATGGATTCCTTCTCAGGTAATTTTCAGTTTCACTACTCCCATTTAAGATGAGTTTGTAAAGGCCAAACTTAGGAATGTGTAAGGAATTTGATAACGGGTAAAAAAAATTGATAGAGTTTCACAATTCAGCTCCACAGATTCTAGTTCATCAGCCCTGTGCTGGGGTCAACTTGCCATGTTGGGAGTCAAGCCAAATCAAAGGAAGGACAAATTTGTCTACTTTTCTGACCTTGTGACCTTGCATTTAAAGGGTATTTTTGAGGGGTGGGGAAGGCAGGAGAGCAGCATCAGCAGGACAGAAAACCTTCTCATCACCTCTCAGGTTCCCCTCCTTATTCTCCCAGAAGGCTGAAATTGCTGTGCAAAGGGTGCCTGCAATCCTCTGGTTTTAGAGGGTTATGGGCAGCTTCACTGGATTGCATCCTTGGTAACCTCAATTTTTTCATCTGTTTCAGCCTGGAATTATAATTGAGTTTGAAAAGAAATCTTCTGGAAGAGATCTACTTTCATTTTGTAGGCAGACAATGCTGAACAGAATTTTGAAAAAGAGTTTGGCTCTCCATCATGTAGACTAAAAGCTTTTCTAATCAGTAGTCTTCATTGACCTCACTCTATATTTTTATTCTATCTGAAGTTTTCACATACTGGCAAGTATTCTATTTGTTCTAGAGATATCTGCATTGCAGCCTCTTTCTTTCCAAATAATGTGTCAACTTCAATTCTTCTAAGTATTCATCCTGAGTTTTTAAAAAGTAGTAAGTAGTAGTACCTTTGGTACTTCTTTACATGATAGAACGCATATCTTATGGTATTCCAGGTTTATCTGACAAAATGTCAGCATTAACTCCTACTTTATTTATAAAAATAATTAATCTATAACTACATAATTGTGGCTAGAGTTAAAACTGCCTTAAAATGGAAAGCAGAAGAAAATTAATATTTGAAAACTAGAAGAATAAGTTAGTTGACTATGTAGTAATAATAAGGTTAACTAACTATGTAGAAAGATAACCAGCCAAAGAAATTCATGATATGGCAACTGCATTGTACACAACTTCTTTTTAACATGGATAATAACAATGGAAAAATATTGTTATAAAGAGAATAGAATTCTTGAGAAAATTGAGGTTAGAAAATTCTGCAATGAATTTTAACTAAGTTCCAAAGAAAAATGTGACTGTGTAGAAAGGATAGTAATTGTTGACTTACAGTGACTTTTTAATATTTGATATTCTTTGTAACATTTGTTTAAGAACTCTTGGTGTTACTCTGTAGTTTTTACTTGTATTTTTCTTTTTTCTTTCTTCTTTTTTAACTTTACTGTTATTAAAATAAAATTTGGTGGAGCTCATTGCTGGAGTGCTATTTGAGTTTGCAGAATGACTCCACAGGAAACTGTCCTAAGATAAAGTTATTTACAACAGTTCACAGCTCTTTGTCCTTTATTAAGTATATTTCCAATGTTGTTGGTACCTACCTTAAAGTAAATCTACTGAATAGACCAGGTTGTGCTGGTGTTAGTCCTATTTAAGAGCAAAACCACTGGGATAAATTGCTTTGGAAATTTCATAAATAGGACACAGTAGAGAATATTATATTCTAACAATTATAAATTATGGAAGCTCTTCATTATTATTTATTAGATTTGTATGCTGCTGAACTGGCAAAACCCTAGTGGTTTACAGTGAAAAAAGTATAAAATAGCTTTATATTTTATAAGTAAACAGATCGTGTATTTTAATTTTCTCCCAAATGTCTTAAAAAACACAGCTTTCCCATGATTTCAACATTTTCAAAAATATTATCTAAAGTAACACTGCTCTTGTTCAACTTTGTCTCATAGAGCTACTGTAGCCTTTCCCTGAGAAGCTGCTTCTTGCTTCTTGCAAGGAATTTCATGAAAGCTACCTTTCAAAAGTGTCTAGAAGCTTCAAACGGAACAAAATCTAGCAGCAAAACAGCTGACTTCAAGCATGTAACACAAATATTACATCATAAGCAAAGGCTGCCAATTTGCTTTTCCTCCTATTTCACACTGTGGTATGATACCAGTGTATAGGGAAAAACTCTCATATCCCACATGAATCCACAATGACCTGGAGAAGCCCTCCTGTGCTTCCACTATGCTGTGAACTGTAGAGGACCTTTTCTACTGTAATGCTTAGATTATGGAATTTACTGCCCTGGAGACCCAGCAATCCACCTTATGCATTTAAGAAACACGGTGAAAACAATCTTATTTGATGCTTCCCCCTTGGTTTTTGCTGTTTTAAGATTATTGTTCCTGTATTGCTGATGGTGATTTGTTTTATTGTCCCTAATATTGTTTTGATATGATTTTATTTGTTTTTTTTTTTTGTGTTCTGCTCTATTTAGGCCAGAAAATGCAAGATAACCTAAATAATTTGAGTCACTTTTCTCTGCAGACATTTTTTAAAAGATTGTGAATGATGTTACATAGAAACAGAGTAAGTCAGAAGGGTCCTCCTGGAACATCTAGTCTGACCTCCGGCTCTAGATGGCTCTGCTCACGACATGCCTACCTTGTACATGTCTAACCTATCCTTGAACACCCTCACCAATGGGGCCTCAACCACCTCCTGTGGAAGCCCATTGCATACCCTCGGGGTGCTAAATGCCGGGAAGTACTTCCTGGCATCCAAATTGAACCTTGGTTCCCTGAGCTTGGCTCTATTGGAGCTCGTCCTGCCCTCCTCTGCAGGAAAGAACAGGTCTCTGCTCACCTCCATGTGACACTCCGTCACATACCTGTATGTAACCAACAGATCCCCTCGGAGTCTCCTCTTCTCCAGGCTGAAAAGACCCAGTTCCCTCAGTCTCGCCTCATACGGCTTTCCCTGCAATCCGGCCACCATCCTTGTGGCCCTACACTGCACTGACTCTAACCTGGCTATATCCTTCCTGTAACAAGGGACTCAGAACTGAACACAATATTCCAGTTGCGGGCACACCAGAGTCGTATAGAGTGGTAGTAATACCTCTCTTGATTTAGAAGCCATACTTCTAGCTCTGCAACGAAGGGTGGTGTTTGCCCTCTTGACCACTGTGTCACACTGCAATCAACCAGTACTCCAAGATCCCTTTCACAAGTGCTGCTCTCCAGCCACTTGTCCCCTAACCTGTACTTATGACACCCATCCCTATGGCCCAAGTGCAAGACAAGCAGGTTGCTTACCTGTAACTGATGTTCTTCGAGTGGCCATCTGTGCATTCACACATATGGGTTGCTGCGCCTGCGCAGTGCCTAAGCCGGAAGATTAGAAAGCTAATGGTTTTTGGCGGGAAAACTCCGCTCCCCTCCCC